AAAATATCACCTTTGTTTATGCAATAATGAAGGAATAACAGAGGATTTTATTTCATATCTGAGGAAAAGAAACAAGTGAACTGTGAGATCCATAAAACTAAGAACTCGAAGGCTTGCCCACCATTTTGTTTAAATCCTTTCAATACATGAAAATGGCTTCTACATCAACAATAGTCCTCCACTACTGCACCATGAACACAGGTCTACATTATGTAATTTTTAAATTTTTCTGACAAGCCAAAATGGTCAGTTGTCAAATGTTTATCTGTCAAATCCTCCCCACACCATTTCTACAGTGCACATTTTGTTTTTCCTTCTCTCATCTGTGTGTGTGTTTTCATAAGAACATAAGAACACAAGAAAATAAGGAGTCTGCAATAGGCCGGTTGGCCTGTGCATGGCAGCTCCTGTCGAGAGCTTCTACCACTCTCCATCATCCATGAATCTATCTAGCCTCCTTTTGAAACTTTCCAGAGTTCCAGCACTTACTACAAAGTTGCTACGCTTGTTCCACTCGTCCACCACCCTATTTGTGAACCAGTTTCTTCCTATCTCCCTCCTAAACCTAAACTTATCCAACTTGAATCCGTTGCTCCGAGTCCTATCCTGCTCGGATATTATAAGAACTTTATCTATATCCCTTTTATTGATTCCTTTCACCCACTTAAATACTTCTATTATATCTCCCCGCACTCTTCGTCTTTCTAGGGAATGCAAGTTAAGTTTCTTTAACCTATCCTGATATGGAAGGTTTCTAAGTCCCGGAATCATTTTTGTCATTCTTCGCTGCACCGACTCTAGTGAATTTATATCCATTCTATAATAGGGGCACCAGAACTGAACCGCATAATCGAGGTGCGGCCTGACTAGCGCAAGATATAGTTGCAATAAGACCTCTGCACTCTTGTTACTTACACTTCTAGATATAAAACCCAATACTCTGTTTGCCTTATTTCGAACATTTTCATTTCATGTTCCTTGACAAAATCATTAAAACTGAGAGATATATTTTTAGATTTCTGTATCTTTTGAGTGGCTTGAAGGCTTTGTACCACACATTGGACTACCTCTTGATTAAGTTCCTAAGTAAACATTAGCCTTTATAATAAAAGGTATAGTTACAAAGTTGAATGGAAAATGTCAATGTTTTCTGCTACATGTAACTAAACACACCAAAGTATAATTCAAGGTCTAAGCAAGTGATCCCATTTGAACCAGTAATCAACTCTAGGTCCAATGAAGCTTAAGTAATTCAAGGGCTTTGAATCCATTTCATTGGTAGTAGGAAGTTCAAATGTAAATTTTTCTTAGGTCCTGCCAACTTCCAGTTCATAAATTTGGATTATATTAGTCAATCCTTCATTTATGATCTTTGGGTCATCAGCATGAGATCTATGATTTTATTAAACCAGCAAGAAATGGGTTGGAGGAGGTCAGAGTTATTTGCATGCACCTCAACTTGAAGTGGAAATTATATGAAGGCCACACAGTCTGCATTTGCTAACTCCTTATTAAGACATCTTGCTCTCTAAATGGTAGGTAGTGTCAGTCTTAAAACTGTTGTTTTACTAAGTTTATGTTGGATTTTAAATGTAAGGTGGTATAAAAGGTGACTAAAAATAGGTTGAGAATCCTTGCTCTAAATTATGAAAAGAGAGTGAGCATAATTAATTGACTGGGATAAATCGAGGAATGAAGTATGAAATCCCATTCTATGACTGTATTGCATGACTGAGGAGGAGATAAGTGACATGCATGATTCCCCAACTAGAACACCCCCAACCAGAGCTGGTCTTGTCTCAGGGTTATCTGTGTTCTATCATGCAGATACAGTATTCTGAAGGATTAGTGTAAATTGTTGCAGATCAAATACTTCCCCAATCAAACCAGGGTTTATGAAACAAGCTCCAACCCTGGCCAGGTGATACACAGGGATGAACCCTGAAGCTAATGCACTTATCCTGAACTTTATAACCATAAGCATGACTTCCACATTTAAAATCTCACAATAAGAAATTAACCAAAGGAACGGAGACTCCAGGTTACCGGTGTCCTCCATTTAGCTATAAATGGAATCTTAAACTTCAATCCTTGATTTATGGCTTACAGATCATTTGATAAAGGATATAACAGAAATGCTCCTATATAAAGTAAGCCAACCATTGCAGCACAGTGATGAAAAATTCCTCATTCAGATGATTAAGCATTTATCAGTAAAAACTAAAAACACAATTCACCCCTCTAGAGAATATCTACCACTATTCTAGAAACCCCTTTAAAGATTTCTGTCACTAATTTGAGTCCAACATGAGGAACTTTGAGAAGAAGAAACTTCATCATATCTTTGTTTTATAGAAGAACAAAGAAATACTTCTTCACACACAGGGTGGTACAGTAGATCTGTGGAACAGTCTACCAGCCGAAGCGGTGGCATCAAGTACAGTACTGGGTTTCAAAAACAGCCTTTGACAAAACTATCAAAATCAATGGTCTTCCTTTTCTTGGCATGACCACCTCTGGTAGGTGGCTATTAGGTATGGTATATATAGTAAGGTAGTTAAAAATCTAAAGTCCTGGAGGGATATCAATGATCAAAATGCTCTTGTAAATAGTATAAAAGTCTATATGGCAAAAATATACACTGCCAATATTGAAGAAAACGATGAAAAGAAAAATAGAGAGAATGATAAAAAAAGAAACCACAAAGAGAAAGTACATAAGAAAGAACATTGTGAGTTTGTTCTAGTGTATGTATTGTTTTTTGGCTCCTCAAAGCATAGCTGATAAAAGGTTGGTGTTTGTTTCATAAGCCCTGATATGCCTGGATACATAGTCATTTATGCAACAATTTACATGGATCAAACAAATCAGTGTCCCTGCCTCACAATGCTTCATTCACAGAGGGTGAGAGCCCAAGTATCTTAGATAAAAATTCCAATTTACACACATGGGTTCAGTGAATCAAATTAAAGTCAACTCAGCCTGGTACAACAAGGGTCAAGTAAATGTATACTGATTGACATCAGCATTCTACTCGTGTTATAAATAAAAAGTTCACAAACATAGTGTAAAAGTATTAATTCGGAAAAGTAAAGTAACTAAAATCCACTAACCTCAACCTTTTAAGAACTTCGAAACATGACTGTAAAGAAATCCATAAGCAAAAAGAATTTATTTAATAAAGATATTTTATCTTCCCACGAATGCTCAAAATGACACTGGAATTCAAATAATTTGACTGAGCAGAAAGAGTTACTGGTAGATGGTGTCAGTTTATAAAAGTGGCAGGAACTGAAGAGTTTGTGGACAAACTTCCTTTTACAGGTGAATCGAGAACAAATGTTTGATTACTGAAAAGGCCCATTCTATGACCTAAAGCCTCACTGGATCTTAAGTCACCCACTCATTCAAATGATACCGATTCGACCTCAAGCCATCTGGGTGAGAAGTGCTATTTGCAGCAAAAAACATTGTCTGGCATTGTGCTTACAGTGTGGCTTATCATTAAATATATAATATCTGGAAAAATTGAAGGGCTAAGGAAACAGTATTCAGCAAAACAAATCTCACAGATCACTCCCTGGCAACTTGTAGGTCATTAAATTCTATTATTTATATGTCTATCAGCATTCTAATCTACTTAGTGTATGCGCACACACACACACACACTCCTCTCTCTCTCTCTCTCTCTAATGCACAGAAATCTGTCATAATATGAAGCACCAACCTTGCTAATGAGAATTTGTTGGGCCAAATTTTATAAGGATGCTTAGTATAGGCATGATTTCTTTTGAGATCTAAAAGATGTTGCCTGTATTCCTAAAAAAGATAAGATTCTAAATCTTCGAAGTTAAAAGCATTATTTGTGATTGAATTAAAAGCATCAATCTTTTATCTTAAGCCAACAAATATTCTGTAAATTGCAATAATTTTTAAAGCCAGTCTACAGAAAAATATGAGGAGTTCAATGTATGCTTCCCAGTCTTATTCTATACTTTTGTAATAAAATGTCCTGAGAATATGAAAAACTTCATCAGATCTTGCATTCTTGTCAACTAAGATACGTATTAACTTACAGTATATAATTGTCCTAGTTATTGCAACAGTATGATCCTGGTTTTATTCATTTGTCTATAAACACTAACTTTAGTTGCCTCACTTTCTGATAAAATTGAGTTTCCACGTAAAGAGTGCAAACATGCAGCATTTTTTTAAATATTGTTCATATGCACATCTAAAACAGTGACACAGTGCTAAGGGATGCTTTTAGTTCTACAGAATAAATCCATCAGTAATGTGATGACTTTCAAAAAAGATAAGTCAACAACCAGAATAAAATTAAAGTGATTATCCTGATGCTCCTCCAGCAGTAACTAATCTCCAGTGTTACTGGCCATATCAACAGTGTAAAAAAACAATTACAGTATACAGTATTCTTGGTTGTGCAATAAGTCTTTAAATACATCCATCGGGAACAAAGTATGTTATTCACTCAACTAAGAGGCTTTTCTTCCATAATTTGCAAATAAAACTGCTGTATTTATATACAGATTACATAAATATACATAAATATATACTGTATATGTACATATTTACATACACAAATAAACACATAAAGCAATAAAAAGGTAGGAATAGTCTTCAGACATTTTGAGCAAAGAATAAAGCAACTTTAGACAAGTTGTCGCAGAGAGGAGGCAACTGAGAAGGAAACGATATGCAAGCAAAGTGTGGTTATCACTAAAAGACTATGAACAAGTATGATACTCCAGTACTACACCAAATACTACATTAGTAATGACTAGACCATTGCACAGGTACTCCATTTTAGTTACCAATATTCTCCTTGAGATCACCAAACAAAGATGGCGCTTATGAAAAGGTAATGTATCCCTACCAATGGGTGAGGAGGCAATAATGTAAACAAGGGCTTGCTTAGTTAGGGTGATCTCAAGTAAGGCTATACTTTGTAATTTTGTGGTTGTGAATGACGTGTGTACCTCAGACCATGGGGATGCAACCCAGCGGAATGGGCAAGGGTGCTTATTACAGCGGCGACTGGATTTGCGCCTAGCCAACCCTTCCCGAACACAGTACTCATTATGTACTGCTGTTTCATTCATCTGAGTGTCAATACAGGTCACATTTCGGTACATGACCCCACGATCACACGCCTCCGAGCACTGCAAGGGATACATCCAAACATATTATAGGGCTATGTTATGTTTGTTCCAAAAATCCTCAAAACACTGCTAACTTCTTTTCCGTATATTCAAAATGTATTTATAACAGATTTAATACAGGTTTAGTAAGTTCAGGAAGAAAGGGCAAGTATGTTATTATATTTAGGGTTGACCAAAGGTGTGGTATTTTGCTGTTAACAAAATTAATTATAATACACAAAAAATAAGAAAATGGTATGTCAGAAGTATTCAAGAAGTACAACATAAAAGAGTCGGTCTAATATTGTCTTTCTGTAGAATTTAAGGTGATTCAGATTTTTTGGTGTACTTCTGGTTAGTTTTGAAGCCTTTAACACCCCCACTTTAAGTAGCCTTTAGTTTGGGTCTTACATTGGAAAGTTCGCCTGTGACAAGATCAGAGATTATGATATCATTATAAGAAAAACTTAAGCATTTAATTGATATTTGTTACTTAGTCTCAACTTAACTTAGTTTAAGGCAGATGGCCCAAAATTTATACTTGCAGAATCAAACCAAGAAGTGCCAATAAGCAAATCAGATAAAAGAAAGATATGGCAGACATATAAAAGAAAGCACATCAACATACATATGCTGAATCAAGTAGCCAGCCTTTAGGTATTTAAGTGACAAAGAGAGTGCTTAGGGATATACCAGGAGTGGCAGCCTCAAACACCATCTAGTATAAAGGGATGACAATTCCTGACAGTATAAATATTACACAGTTAATATATATCACTCAAGTTAACAAAATAATGAATAATCTATGCTACAGTATATGTAATACCTGTATCTTGATTTATTACTTCAAGTCAGGAATTCTCATTCCTAAACTCAATTATCTTGGCCAAGGTGAACAATAATCAATGATCAAGTCACAAGTGCAATCTGAGGGGTACTTCTCCCTTTTTTTTTAAGCAAAAGTATGGGGGTTTTGAACCCAGCAACTGTTTGCTGGGCATGCTTATGCATGACAGCCAAGAACTTCAATAACTTACCAGAGGGTGAAATGTGGTGCTTTATGGGGGACTGTGGCTGGCAGGGGACATGTGGGATACAGCACATGCTTTACTTGATCATCTAATCATCTTAGTTGATGTGATAGTTTGTACACTAGATACTAATACCTTCATGTATGAAGATTGACACTTAAGTAGAACTCTTCATAATTGTGTTTGTAGAATATTTATATACCTAAATCTGTTACATAGTTTGAGAGAAAAAATTATCCAATGCAAATAAAATATAGAATCTAGTGCACTTATACTACAACTGAATCCTGAGTTTTGCAATCTGGATGAGGGGGTGGGTGAGTCAGTGATAGACTTTTCCTTAAAATATTTATTTCCATTACAAAAAATCACACACACACACATACATACGGTATTCACTCATACACACACAACAGACATAAATGTATCACAAATCCATCACAGAGAAAAGGAGAATATTTACAAGTCACAAAAGGGGCGATATATTTCTTTGTTACTTATATTTTAAAGTATGACTCATTTCTTCCTTGTACAGACTGATTAGAATATCTCAGATGGCTCATGCATTCCTCTACAACCTGACTGGCCATATACTGTACTCTCAATATGTCACACTGAAAAAACAAAACAATAGAGAGATATAGTATGCACAAACGAGCTTCACAAGAATTTAGGATCTCCAAGCAGATGTGCTCCTACTACCAGACCATCCAGTGACTTGTTCCAGAATTGAAACATTACAAAACAATGCCTAATCTGCACAGATTAAATTTAAGTATAGAAAGAGAGAGGTCACTACTGAAAAATAGAACAGAAGTACTTCATTTTATTAGACTATATTATTCTTCCCTGGAACTATCGATACTATAATAAAAGGGATGTCCACTTATATATGTCAATACCTACACTCCCATGAGGCCTGCACACCTAGAGCCATTATGAGGGGAAACTTGAAAACTGATCCTGTGTTGTGTAAGCGTGTCAGGTGGGTAATTCATTACACCTTCAATGATCATCCTCACAGATAAACAAGTTACTTGCTAGATCCATACCTCTAAATTATACCACTAAGTATGGGGCCCACGAGGGCATTGGGTCCAATTTTAATGGAAATGAAAATTTGACCTTAATCACAATGTGCCATTAAACTTGGGTCAATTAACCCTCCCTGTATTTGTACATAATAAAAATGTCAAATGATAAACTAAGTTTTGTGCCACTTGGAAGGTCAGTCGAGCATGGAATCTGAATCATGAGTTGCCTCGGGTGCTTCCCTGGGATAAAATGCTGTAGAGGTGACCATACAGTACAGAATTGTGTTGTGTTTTCCTGTGGTTTTGCAACCATATTTACCTAAGGTAAATCTAAAAACTTAAGGACTTTGATTTTTTTGCGCACACACACACATTTGTACCCAGAAATATTCAGTGAAAAGCACATAGGTTAAGACTTGGGGCACGTTGCCACTCAATTTATAATAAGATCCATTTTTTTTAAATAGAAAATGAAGAATGAACTCAAAGTTTAGGACACCTGTAGCTTTCTGATCAGTCTTCATTTTCCATTAAAGTTGGGTCATATTAGTAAATGAAGCCCAATGACCCCAAGTCTAGTTAATAAGACTGATGTATTGAATGCATAAGTAGATAGAGCACCACCAGACATCATTGGAATTTGTGAGTCCTGGGATCGAGAAGATGTGTCACAGGATGAATTTTATCACCCACCATTTAGTAAAAACACAACCATAAGAGGAGGTGGTGTACTATTTTATGTCAAGGAGCACCTGACCGCAACCATTAATGATGAGCTAAACAAAATGGGACCATCCTAATCTATTTGGTGTGATTTGATAGCTCAAAACAAATGTAAGCTGACAGTAGGTGTGTGCCACAAGGCTGACTCGGCTTCTGGGGAGAAATTACAGTGTAGCAGATCTCCATAGAGTCATCCAGACAGCATCCAGAGCACAAGACCTCATCATAAGAGACTTTAATCACGAGACAATAGACTGGGTGAATCTTATCATACAAGCCATGGGAGAAGAATTTCTTGATCTCATTAAAGACTCATTCCTCACACAACATGTGTCGGAACCCAAGAGGGGAAACAACATTCTAGATTTAGTCTTGACGACTGAGGAGGCTATGGTGGACGAGGTCCACATCGAGGAAAATTAACTCCAACCAGTGACCATATAATACTAAGATGGAATACAATCTTTGATAGTTGAGAGAAAATAGTTGAGGAGGAATACTATGACTTCAACCATGGATTTTACCAGCTCAGGAAATAATGATTCGTGTAATACCATAAGGAAATAATTTCCATATAGAGGTTATATGGTGTACTGTACTGTATTCTATCAATGAATAAAAATTCTCAAGGCATTCATTCAAGCACATGTCACAAACTGAGTGATTATATATATATATATATATATATATATATATATATATATATATATATATATATATATATATATATATATATATATATATATATATATATATATATATATATATATATATATATATATATATATATATATATATATATATATATATATATATATATATACACCTACAATAATGGCCATCAAAAAATTCAGTGTGAAGAAACAGGAAAAGTAAAACTCGAAAGAAATTTGAGAATAACCATCAAAACCCCTTACCTTCTCTGACCTTGGAAAGAAGAATTATGATACTGAAGGAAACTGACTGATTATGAAATCAGTGATTATCCCAAAAATAACTACACTTGAACTAAGTCTCCCACTGAAATTTAAAGACCTGAGGAAAAGGAAGCAATGGAAAGTAATACAGTATACAGCAACTATGGAATTATAATTTTATCTCTAATGGACATCTGTCCTTGAAAACTAGTTAATCCCTTCAGGGATGAAGAAATTGTTATGTAGAGATGACCTGAGTAGTAGTCTGAGGATCACTAAAACAGTCTCTCTAAGATATGGACACAATTTTGTTTAAGGACCTTATCTAGTTGAGACACTGGATGGTTTGGAAATGACGAGTATATGCTGCTGATACTTGGCCAGTTACCTCTTAGCTAATGCACACACATATCACCTACTCGTCTTTTTTCTTCTTTTTGTATTAAGAATATGTATCCTGCCAGCCTGCATGGGAGATGAACAAGGCATCTGATATACTTACTGAAAGGAAAAAAAATCTGAAAATGCCTACAATCACCTACAACCAAATCTATACTAATGAGTTAACTGCTGGAGTAGGGGGGTTGGTATGATCTGTTGGATATTGGAGATAATACTAACTGTGATGATGGTGGTGATGGTGGTGGTGGTGTAACCTTATAAATGAGAGTGGAACACTGCCCAAAAGATTTGTTACAATTACTATTGCGTTTATTATTAACATTATTTTCATCATGACTTTTATATTTCCTTTTGGATTGATTCTGATGGCCTGGAGAAGATGGCTGTCTGCGATACTTTACCGGCGACCATTCTCCAGCTTTCCATCTGTATCGCTGTCGCCGCCGACCCTGATTCTTACTACTGCAGGGAATCTTACAGGCACGAGTGTGAGTGGGTCTGTCTGCAGCATGACACTGCTTCTCATCCAGCTGAGGGCCATTAGGGTCCCGACAAACCACCAGGCGTTCTTGCTGACCCCTCCCACAGCGACGATGACGTCCACGCCGGATGCGGCACTGTCCATCAAAACAATTGTATATTAAATGTTCCTTTATACAACTACTTTATCTAAAACGCATCTCCAGTATGTAATTTATCTAACTCAAATCATGAAAATACCTAATATTTCAATGACATTAATCAACATACAGTATGTGTGTGTGTGTGTGTGTGTGTGTGTGTGTGTGTGTGTGTGTGTGTGTGTGTGTGGTAGAACTGTGGTTGCTCTACCTGCCATTTCACCAAATAAATCATTTACATTCTGCCTACACTTTACAAATACATGTACAGTACAGTACAGTAATATGTATCAAGTAAACAATATATTAATATACTACTGTACTAATAACACAAGGATCAGCAGTAGCGATTACCATAACATAGGAAAGATGAATAGATGTTAAAAAATAAGAAAGAAATGGTGGAAAAACAGATGAAAGATCACGCTGAATCTATAAGTATGAGACATACAGTACACTACTCATAACATAAATATGGATTATTGCTTGTCAGTGATTGTTAGCTAGGAGTCGATGGGTTGGGTTCGAGTGGTTCAGGTATTATATGAGTGCTCAAAACCTTTGTGAGAGTAATTAGTGAGGAAAGTAAGGTGAAAGTAGGGATTCATTAGTTGTTGTCTTGAGCTCCCTTTTCTTTATCATGGTGCTGGAGGCAACATCATGGGACTTTAGGACTGGCCTGCCCTGGGAGTGGTTGTACTGATTAGTGGGTGTGGGCAAAGGACCCATGCTGGGAAGTGATAAATGGCTATGTTCTTTCTGTAGGAAAGGTATTGGAAGCAACTCAATAATGTTCAATGATTGCAGTAAGTGGGTACACCATAGGTGCAACGGAGTAGATGGCAGAATACAGGCTGTTGCTGACTAAGTATTATATATGTGCAGGTAACCATGTGCCCACAGCAAGGCTGAAGAAATTCAACATTGGGAATATGTCCCTGGACTGTGTCAATGAGTTCTGTTAGCTGGGTAACATGATTAGTGCTGGTGGGGGTGGTGAAGCCTGTTCAGTTGCAAGAGTCAGAAGTAGCTGGAGGAAATTTAGGGAGCTGCTTCCTTTATTGACAAGAAGAAGACCTTCCCTTTGCATGGAAGGAAGAAAGTATGCAGCTGGCATGAAAAGTGAGATATTTTATGGCAGTGAAACATGGGCAGTTAAAGAGGATGAGATATGGTAAGTAGGGTTGAGTGAGCTGAAATGAGAATGGTGAGGTGGATGTGTAATGTAACACTGAAAAACAGGAGTCTTATTCAGAGCTAAGAGGGCACCTGGGTATTGAGAGTATTGGCAAAGTTCTGTGTAGAGGCAGATTGAAATGGTTTGAACATATGGAGAGAATGGATGAGACCTATTGGGTCAAAAGATGCATGAGCCTAAATGTGAAGGGGAGGAGAGCCAGGTGTATGCCAAGAATGACCTGGGAAGAGGTTGTACGAAATAACATTAAAGTTAAGAACCTGACAGGAAAGATTGTAAGAGACTGTGTAGCATGCAGAGTTACCATCAGGTAATCATGACTAACCCATAAAAAAGCAGAAAATGGCCCTATAATGTTGACGATAAAGATGTCGATGATAAGTGACCAAGAATCCTGGCCATTACTAAAATTGAAATGATAGCAAAGTCACACACAGTACCATTTTTAAATGGAAATCTGGATGAATATAAAAGAGGAAAACAGAAAAAAAGTGATAAGTGGGTAAAAGAAACATGCATACATAGAGCCAGAGGTGAACAAAGATGGGAATGTGGACAATACAGTATGTAAAAGTATGATGGGAAAAAGGGAGCTGGAAAAGGATGATAAATGGTGTAATGAGTGGGAAGATGAGAAGGATAAACAGACTCTGAAGAAAAATGCTGGCTACCAGTCCTTGAATTCATAAAATACTGTACAGTATAGAAGTATGATCATCTTGGTTTTTTGTTGGTAAGGGGATAGGTGCTGATATTGTCAATCCTGTACAGTCCAGGATATAATGTACATGTCTTTTATTTTTATCAGACACAGGAAGTACATAAAGTGAAGACAAGTGTGTATAACTGTTTATCTTTAGTACATGTGGCAGTGGGGAAAGGGTAACAGGTATATAGTCAAGTCCACCAATATGCCTTGAGGCTAAAGGAAACTGAAAAAATGGACAGACCAGTCAGGCCACAAGAAATACAGGTATCTCCTTGATGAAGCAATTTTTTTTTTGGGGGTTGGCCAGGGTCTAACACCCAAATCTTTGCTAATCATAATCTATTTCATGAGGCAATAATTCATCTTAAGGCTCAGAATAGACAAAACTCATTCTACAATAAAATACTGTATACAGTATACAAATTATGTGTTTACTCACATGACCCCAGTCTCCTATGGACCATTCAGTGCAGGTATGAGTGTTACATGGCGCAGTGTCTCGTGGCTGTTCTTCTGGTGGACACATTGATTCCAATCCAACACAAACTACCAAGCGACGCTTCTCTCCACCACCGCAGTCTAGAGAGCACTGATGAATAATAATAATAAAAAAAAATCATGAACAATATTGTATTATATAAATAAACTGTTGACTTAAGACTAGAAAACAATACAGATACAGTACTTCAACTCAGAAGTAAAGGACACTTTGTTCCACATTCTGAATTACAATTAATACAGATACAGTAATTCAATATACAATATGTCAACCAAATATCTAATGGATAATTATACAGGGTGAAAATAGTTTGTCAGATGTGATGAGAAATAGAATACACTACCGTATTAAGCTTGCTGTATGGGTTTACTATTACTATTGGCTCATATTTGTATACCAGTACAGTATGTATTTTATTTTGCACTATTCTTAATGTAGAACTTAAATACAGTGTGTATTAATTATTATTTCTAACTATTTATGCAGTAAAGACGACTTATAAAGTACTCTTCAAAATTTTCTTAAAAATGCATGTTATTTCTTTTAAAATCCTCATCCCATGAATATATGAGCTTCACTGGGATAGATGAATAGCTTACTCCAAATTTAAAATGATATCGGTTTCAATGTAATGACTGCAATTCAGAATTATCAAAACTATTAGTATCCTTACCGTACTCCATCCACCAACTTGCCAGTTAGTGTTGGGGTTCTGATTTTCAGTGATGACTGGGTCATACTCCTGCACAACATTGTTACTCTCTTCTTCACTGCTGTGATGTTGGTCCCACTGATGGGTACTGTGAGTGTGGTGGTGATGGTGTGAGTTTTTGCTTATTTCCCTACCATAACCATTATGGTGTCCTGTAGTGTCTAACTGATTGTCAGATATGTCATCTCGACTGTTTCTCTCCCTTTCATCAAGACTACTTGGGAGAGAATTTGAGATTTCATTGGTTTCTTGTCCATGGTCAGTTCCAATATTTACTCCTGTCCAGCTCTGACGGTCTGCATGACGATGATGCTGTCTCCATGATGATGTACCACTACCATAAATGTCTCCGTCACTCTTGTGTTTACGGTGGCGAGTGCCAATGGAGTTTTGTTGGCTGTGCTGTTTACCACCCTTACTCTAAAGGGGCAAGGTGTATGTGGCAAGTATAAAAATTAAACAGAAGTCAGTACCTGTCCTTTAATAATTAGATATTAAGAACTTAAATTTAAGATAACCCTCCCAAGCTTACAACACTGAGTATATTCTTCTGAACAACTGGCAAAATGCTATACATTAAAGATATAAATCTAGAAAAGTCGTAAGCAGAATTACAGTACTACATAGCACTACTGTACATGAACATGTATTATACAAGTCTTCTGTTTTATCTTGCAATAGTAGTTAAACTGATATACATAAACAATCTTTATGTAAATTCACGTTTTTTAATGTTTTTATGGAATACCGGGTATTTAATTTTTATTTTTCATTATCCAAATGCAGCTGATATGAGCAAAACAGATGTGTTTAAAATGATGCAGAAGATATATTATAAGCACAGCTAATCAGCAGGAACTAGTGATTTCTGTCAAAAAAATGACATGTCATAATTATGGTTTCTTTGCTGAATAAGCAAGCTAACCATGAGCCCAGAATGATTGGAAGACAAATCTAAAGATTTATTCATTCATAATAAAATATTAGAAAAATTTAGGTTTAAATGCAAGAAAATTGAGTAAATCTCAAACCAAAATTTTAAAATGCTAAATCAAAACCACTTAATTATCCAAGCGAGGAAACGAAAATACAGTTTACTACTAAAAGGTCTTGAGTATACAGTACTGTATCACTTAATTTGTCACTTTACTCTACCTTCCTGATTTTAACCCAAAAGCTTCAAGCAGCCGCTGTCCACTAGAGTATTTTCTACTTCAGTCAAATAGGTGTTCTGTATATAGTCAATCTCATGGCAAAAAAGTGACAGCTTACTATAGTGCATTTTTTCCCAGCAGAGAAGAGATGTCCCGCTCCCTCCTCAAGAGTTACGGCCCCTGAAAGTTGGTGGTGAGTGTGACAGACTGGGGCGCTTGGCTGCTCGAGCCGTCAGCAGAGGCGGGAAATATGAAGTTGTTCGCACTCATATTTCCCGCCTCTGCTGACGGTCATGTAACATTTCAATGTGATTCTGATCTCTTAAAATGTTATGTTTTTGCATAATGTAGTGTTATTGATACGTAATTTGTCTTAGTATGCCTTATTGAGGGTAAAAATAAGTATATATTAAATGTGTCCTACTTGCTCATGTTTGAAATAATGAATGTATGTATCTTTATATAATTTACCCAATATCTTTCTCGACAGAAACAGTCACTCCAACGATTATGAATACACTCATTTAGGAATACCGTACATCATTACTTCAGGACGAAATCAGACAGATTTGTAACAACCAATCAGCTGTAACTCTTGAGGAGGGGGCAGGGCATCTCTTCTCAGCTGGGAAAAAACTGCACTATAGGACACATTAAATGACTAGTTTACTTTATACTGTGCTGTAATTTAAAAACCGTCTTTTTCTTGTATCATCCTCATTACAGTATAGTAAATTTTTGTATTTTTTTTTAATAAAATTGTTATCTTGGCTAATCACAAACCAAAAAGAAATGTAAATACTGTAAAGAAATTCACTCAACATTCTGCATGGGAGTACTGACAATTCACTTGGTACACTGGTACAGTACAGCTACTCCTCGACTTACGACATACTCGACCTACGACCACCCGCACTTACGACCTGCCTCAGTCGGTACGACCACCCGCACATACGACTGCCACAGTCGGTACCAAAATTTTTATCAAATGACGAGCGTATTTTCTAGACCAAAACGTTTCCGTCCCGTACAAGAGCGTCGCGTGGGCTGAGTCGCGCCGCCTCGTGGCTACAGCACCCACGCCGTAAAGCGCTTAGTTCGTGTTTGGCTGTCGTTGTTGTCGCAAGTGATCGCACTGTGTATTGACATTACTTTCGAATCTAATTCACTTTAGAATGAGTGGCAAGTGTAGAAGTGAGAGTGCTGGTGGTGCTCAGAAGAAAAGGAGACAGTCAATTACTTTTGAGATGAAAATGAAGATAATAATGCAGTATGAAAATGGAAAAACAGTAGCAACCAATTCACGCGACCTAGGCTTCTCGCACTCTACCATATCTACTATTTTGAAGGACAGGGAACGTATTTGTAAGGTAGTGAAAGGATCAGCACCTATAAAGGGAACTATAATAACAAAGAAAAGACAAGGTCCTATTCATGAGATGGAAAAATTTCTTGTGATATGGATGGAAGACCAGATACAAAAGTGTGCACTGTACCCTTAAGCCTTCTAACCCTACAGGCTAAGGCAAGAAGCCTTTTCGAAAGCCTGACGAAGCAGGCAGTAGAGGAGTGCCACCAAACCTTCACAGCAAGTCATGGGTGGTTCCAAAGGTTTAAGAACTGCTACAGTTTACATAGTGTAAAGGTGAGTGGAGAGGCAGCTAGTGCTGATGTTGGTGCTGTCGAAGCTTTTAAGGAGGAGCTAGATCGTGTCATCGTGGAGGGAATTTATTTGCCTGAGCAAATATTTACTGTGGATGAAACTGGCTTATTATGGAAGCGTATGCCTGAACGGACATACATCCACAAAGAGGCGAAAACAATGCCGGGATTCAAGGCATTCAAGGACCGAATTACACTTCTGTCAGGGAAGAATGTAGCTGGTTTCAAGATAAAGCCCTTCATGATATATCATTCAGAGAACCCAAGGGCTTTTAAACATGTCAGCTAGCACACACTGCCAGTGTTTTATCGAAGTAACAAGAAAGCATGGATGACCCTAGTACTGTTTGAGGATTGGTTAATGACTGGTTTCATTCCACGAGCCAAGGAGTATTGTCTGCAACAAGGGATTGCATTCAAGATTTTGTTAATTTTGGATAATGCTCTGGGACACCCACCACACTTGGACGACATGCACCCTGATGTTAAGGTAGTCTACATTCCACCTAACACTACCTCTATCATCCAACCCATGAATCAAGGTGCTATTGCTGCCTTTAAAGCGAATTATTTACGTACGACCTTCGCTCAGGCTGTTGCTGCTACTGAAGGTGAGACAACTCTCAGAGAGTTTTGGAAGGACTACAACAATTTGAAATGTATAAAGAACATTAGTGCAGCATGGGATAAGGTTACAGGTCAGTGCATGAATGGAATATGGAAGAAAGTCCTGAAAAGATATGTGAACAGTTTCAGCGGATTTAATGAAGATGAAGTAATTTCTGAGATTAGTAACAAGATAGTGGAGTTAGGTAAACAGCTCAAGTTAGAAATTGATAATGAAGATGTTGAGCAGTTGGTTGAAAGTGTAGCAGAAGAGCTAAGTAATGAGGATCTTATTGAACTGGAAGCACAGAAAATGCAGAGGAAGAAGAGTATCTAAATGTAGAAGAAGAACCTGCACCCCCCAAAAATTTTTCAGTGAAGCAAATGGCAGAGCCATTTGCTACAATTAATAAGGGGATGCATATGTTTGACGGGATGGGTAAAAATGTTGAGCGTTTTGCCAAAGTTGACAGAATGGTCCAAGATGCACTTGCTTGCTACAGGGAGATTTATAATGAAAAGAAAAAGCAAACTGTGCAGTCTAAATTGGACATCTATTTCAAGAAGTCCCCCATTGCTGTCTTCTCACGCCCCACCAGTGCTGCCTCTTCACTCTCTAAAGATGATCCAATACCTTCAACCAGCAAGATTCCCCTGTACATTAACCTGTCTGAAGAAAGCGACATTGATAACCCACCCAGCCCTGTCTCCTCCTCTGCTTCATCCAGTTAATGTAGTCTCCATGTATAATTAGAAAATTATGGGGGGCCCCTGTGCATTCAGCTGACTACATTAAAGGTAAGTGCACAGTAACACTGTATCCATTCTTCATTATTGATCACTTTTACTGTACTGTATTTCATATTAGATTTCTATGTATTATTTTTTGCATTTTCGACTTCCGACCATTTCGACTTACGACCTGGATTTGGGTCCCTAACCCCGTCGTAAGTCGGGGAGCAGCTGTATATGTTAATCAAAACTCACCAATGTTAATGCCTTCATGTCAATTTTGGCCATGACCAAGAAAGCACTTATGTACACATTTGACTTCAGATAAAAAACTTCAAGAAAAAAAGGCAAATAATGTCCGATGTTATGATATACGTACAATGTACCTAGAAATAAATGTTGTAAATATTTTCATCATATAACAGTACTAAAAATTTGATATTAACCGGTACTCATCAATAGCACACGAAAGTGAATTTCACTAATATGCATTATAAAAAGCATGATTAGCCCCTATTTTAACAAAATATGAGTCCATAACTTTTGCGTCAATGAATGTTTCATACACTTCCTAAAGAGATGCTGGGTCATCATCTGTTATTTCACATGCACATATTCAGTGTCTCTGTGCACATTAAATGATTGCATTATCTGTGATGTGGTGATAAATATTCCATACTGAAAATCAGAGCACAACTATAGGATTGAAACATGAAAATAATTTTAAAAATTCAGTCTGAATTCAGCATTATCCAGCCACACTTTACCAATCACCCAGAGTTATTTCCTTTAAAATAAAAAAACATCATATAAAGCCCTTTGTTCCATAAGCATGGTTATAAACCCACATTAAAGCCAGCTTTGTTGGATTTTGCAAAAACTTGTCTGCAATATTGAAAGTCAGTCTCCTTATTTTAACACCTAATAGATAGATTAATCTACCAAAGAAATTTCCTGTGGACTAAATAGAATTTCTTAAATTTAAATTTTTAAAAGATAGCACCAACTGACAATATAATCTTTGAAAAAAAAAAGAACTTTTTTATCAACTCTAGTAAAAAATCTCATATAAAAAGAAAGAAGTTTGAAGTGTTGAATTCAGATGAAAGAGTTTGCAAAGGCCAATTTTACAAATAGCAGGTCACTTAACTTGCTTTATGGTTTAACATGAGAAAAGTGAAGTGGATGAAGACACTGGTTGAGTCAAGTTTGAAAAAGCATATTGATGATACAGCAGTCATTCTTTCAACACCCATTTTAGGTGGATTTTTACCGAAAGTATTAACTTTTGATTCTATCTTTGCATGGATTCCTGATGAAATAAATTTGATATTACTGTACTGTATAAGGCAAAACAGTATACAGCTCTTCCCCGACTTACGACAGGGTTAGGGACCCAAATCCAGGTCGTAAGTCGAAATGGTAGTAAGTAAAAAATGCTTAAATAATACACAGTAAATCTAAAATGGGTGTCTCTTTTTCTTCTCAGCACCACAAAACTCTCACTTTTAAGCTTGCCAGCCATTTTAAAGTGAATTACAAACGAAAATTTTGTCACTACACAGCGCAATCACCGACGTTGGGACTCGAAAATACGTAATTTGACAAAATTTTGGTATGACTGAGGCAGTCGTATGTTCGGGTGGTCGTAAGTCGAGTAGGTCGTAAATCGGGGAGAAGCTGTATTTCTAAGGTCTGTATGGGCTTTAATTGTGAGTTACATATTTTTTTAATCAGAATAGCAATACTTAGTATTGTAATTTTCGACTGTAACTCATTTAATTCTCCTATGTACAAATAAAATTTATATTTTTGACCCTTACACATTCACTTCCTCCTCACTCAATAGGAGTTTAGGTAGTTCTAGCACAAGTCAAGGGGTATGGCAGATGAGAGGATATAGCATGCTCCTCCTGCCTTGCGAGTTGCTGGTTAGCACCAAGGCACCCACAGTCCTTCCAGCTATGAATGAGTGCCTAACTTTATACTGTAATTAGGTAAGTGTAGGCAGTCTCACACAGAATTGATCATGCTGACACCTTGTGTATTAAATACAGGCTTAGGCGATACTGTACTGAGCTGTATCCACTCTACACCTGACAGGCCACCAGAATCCACTTTCACACAATATATGTTCACAATATTGCAGTACTGTAACAACAAGAACTTAAAAAAAAAAAGACCCTCTTTAACCAACATATATTATGTTTACTAAGCAGATGAATATTATAACCCAATGCGTACACTGTGATTAGTGTACATTTAAATATCATAAAGAAAATCCTTCTTTTATATACAAGAGTGAGCATACAGATTATGGTGTGATGGTAAAGTATACATTTCATGAAGTTGAAAACATCAGCATTAAATAGCTCCCTTAGCAAAGTTAAGAGGGTGCAGTACAGTACGTACTGTACAATGATGCAGACATCAGGTGGACTTTATATAAACAAATAATTATGTAAGTACATCCTTCATGCATGTTAGTTCAAGCTCAAGAGCCCAGCTCAGATCATTTAGAGTAAAATAACAATGAAGAACTAGACAAATTAAATATTACCTTGATCAGTGAAGAAGAATTATCAGTGTGTGAAGAAGTAACAGAAGAAGAGGTGGAGGTTGTTAGTGTTGATGAAGTAGTGATAGTCTTGAATGTGATTGGGATGGGTGGTGGAGGTGTGGTGGTTGTGGTGGTAGTTGTGGTTGGACATGGGATGTGGCAGGGGTCAGCTTCCGAGGGCTTGGTAAGGGCATCGCAGTCACTGAGAGGGAGATTATCTGCTGGGGAGCCACAGTAGACACGTCTTCGCATCACACCCGTACCACATACTAGCAAGTCGTTTATATCTCCTCCTATCACAAATTCTCCCTCTCCACTTGTTATTCTTTCTGTCTGCAAGGTGTTCCCAACAGTAGCGGTGCTGTCATGGCCCTCCAGGTCACACTAGAGAAAGCCAAACTTATCACTAAGGTGTTAGCTCTATAACACCCTCCTAAATTAAGGAAGCCACCAAGGTAAAGGGCACTGCCAAGATGGAGACGTGAATAGCATGAGAATTTAAAAAGTAATACAGAAGTAAATGGATAATGGGTTGTAAAGGTAACTTGAGCTTTCAGAGAAATAATGGACTGACCGAATAAATTAAACAGAAGTCACACCCTCCAAAAGATACACAATTGTCACAAGTGGTCTTGGGATAACAAATTTTATACTGATTATATCAAGCGTATGGACCATATAGATGCTCACAAGGAACTGTAGATGGAGGGATACATCAACAAACAAGGTCTTCACTATTAAAGTCCCTTCCCTGCACCATTAGGCATTGCCCTACTGAGCTGTGGATAGTACAGTATAATGACTACAAACATAATGAATGGGATGAGGAGGATATGAAAATTAATAGAAATGACAGACATAACAGAGCTTTAGTGTTAAAATTACAAAACTGGAAATGATAATGACAGCAACTGGGATAATGATTAGTAACAAAATGGAGAGAGAAGGCAGTACTGTATTGATGGTATTGAGGGTTATGAGTATTGCTAAATACTATAAATATGGCTACAAAATATTTATACAAGAATGATGTTAAAGATAGCTTTAGGGGCTTTACATGAAGCGCACACACACAATCACACACACACACACACACACACACACACACACACACACACACACGCACACACACACACACACACGCACACACACACACACACGCACACACACGCACACACGCGCACGCATGCACGCACGCGCGCACGCACACGCACACACACGCGCACACACACGCGCGCACGCTAAAAATGATGTTACAGGTGTCTGGCATTTGACTGACTGGCATGCTCCACTAGCTGGCAAAATTGACATGGAACTACTGTACATAAATAACCATTCGACTAGCTGGCATCCGTGCCAGAGCTTCCAGAACCTTGTTAAGATATACCAAGTGGCTGGTAGAGGTCTAATAACTGTATGCTCTTGTGCCATAATGAATAAGTAAACTAGATACTGTACAGTAGTTGCTATTAATTAACAATTCGTCAATTTATTACACATACAGTACCATATTTCACCCAAATTTAAATCTCCTTAAATACAGTAAGTCCTCGCTTAACTTTGTTTCGGTACTACGTCGCTGAACTTTAGAGACCAAAAATTTGTTTAATGTCCCGGTGATCCGATACTAAGTCGTTATGCGTTGTGACAAACTACTTTCTATGGCGCATCACCCACTCTCTCGGCTCGGCGCGCTGCCCTCACTCGCGGAATGTCACAGCGTCCCCAAGCCAGTCTCTGTTACGATTTCACATCATCCGTGTGTGCTTAAGTGTTTCTGTTCTTAAACTGTACTCTAACCATTCGAAATGGCTTCCAAGCGCCCATTAAGTGCTACTGATGCTAGTGTAGTGAAGATGCAACGTTAAGACCATTACCCTTGCTACGAAAATGGATGTATTAACCCGATTTGAAAAAGGGGAACGTGCTGTGGACATAGCCGCTGTGCTTGGTCTAACTCCTACAACGGTGTGTACTATCCAGACCAACTCTGACAAGATTAAGGTTAATGCTGGAAGTGGTTCTTCTTTGATTGGTACTAAGACGACTCGTGCTAGAAGCACTGTGATACACAAGGTGGAAAAGATGCTGGCAATGTGGATGAAAGACCAGAATCAACGCAATGCCCGTGAGCCTTATGGTTATCCAGCATAAGGCCAGATCCTTGTTTGATGACTTAAAGGCAGAAGAGGGTGAAGGATCGAAGAAAAGAGACCTTTACGGCCAGCCGAGGCTGGTTTCAACGATTTAAGCGTCGTTATAACTTCCATAACATAAAAGTGACTGGTGAAGCTGCAAGTTCAGATACGGTTGCTGCCGAGACATTCCCGCCAGAATTCAAACTGATTATCCAGCAAGGAGGCTACTCACCGAAGTAAGTCTTCAATGTAGATGAAACTGGTCTCTTTGGAAGAGGATGCCCGAGAGGACCTACATCTCCAAGGAGGAGAAAAGAGTGCCAGGTTTTAAGGCGGCAAAAGACCACTTGACGCTGCTGCTTGGCACGAACACTGCTGGTGACTTCAAGCTGAAGCCTATGCTGATTTCTCGCGCTGCCAACCCACGGGCCCTGAAAGGTTACTCTAAGGATCACCTTCCTGTCATTTACAAGGCAAATAAAAAGGCATGGATAACCGGCGCCATATTTAGCCAGTGGTTAAACGTGTACTCCGTCCCTGTACTGAAGGAACACTGTGCCAAGGAGAACCTTAACTTCAAACTTCTTCTGATCTGTGACAATGCTCCAACTCATCCTCCCAATCTCGACGACTTGCATAACAGTGTAAAAATTGTATTCCTGCCTCCCAACACAACAGCACCGATGCAGCCTATGGACCAAGGCGTCATAGCAGCATTCAAGGCGTATTATTTATGCCGTACCATGGCCCATCTGCTCAAGGCTACAGACGGAGAAAATAAACCAACGATCCGAGAATATTGACGCGGCATCAACATTCTTCATGCAATTGACAACATTGGCAAGGCATGGGAGGAGGTTTCAGAAAGTTGCCTTCGCTCCACTACCCACCACACACTCGCTCTACCTCTTCCGCCCATCGGTGAGTACCAATACAAACTTACTATACTGTAGTTCTATATACTATTTTCTATAGAAATGGCAATGATTTTCTGTATATGTAACTTTTTCATGGGGCAAAGGGGGCTCACGAAAGTAACTCTCGTATTTTATCTATTTCTTATGGGGAAAATTGATCCTCTTAACGTTGTTTTGCATAACGTCGCGTTTTCAGGAACGTAACCCCGAAGTTAAGCGAGGACGCCCTGTACTGTACTCTGTATCCAGAATTTGTAATAAGGCATCTCTAAACAAAGAGGAATTATTGTACAAAGTAATTCATTACAGTAAATAAATTAATGTGGTTTAACAAAATCATATGTATAACTATGCCCATTTACTCAAACTTACATGACCATACATACCCAGTAAATGTTAAATACAGTAGTCTCCAAAGGAAATCTCAGCAACATGCATAAGTAAACAAAAATTATAATATACAAAACATAATCCTTCGAGTGGGTGTGCTTACTACTTCAAAGATTTAGAAAACTGTACATAAAAATTTTGTAATGTACCATACACAAAGTGGTAAAATTTCCTTACATCTAGGACACTGTTTATCCCATGATAATCATCTAGATTGTAATTTTAATGCATACTGTACCTGGCCCAAATTCACAAAGCTTGCTTATAAAAAGCTGCCTCTCTTCAGATAATTCACTTTCATTAAATTTTGATTGCATCAGAGAAAACGTGTGTCCAGATTATGACACTAATACAGTACATCTATTTCTGTGAGTTTCAGCATAGTTCAGGAAAACTATAAAACAATTACAGTACTTACCCAAGAGTTCCATTCCTCTGCATACCAACAAGAACAATTGCGAATGTGTATTGGTTTATCAAGCTGTTCACACTCCCAGCTTGGTAGTGGTCGCTCACGCTGCTGGCATGAATATGGACGATGCTGCATGCCCTCAGTGTCTCCCTCCTTGCATAAGCACTGTACCCACATAAAAACAGGTCTCATAGTTAATTATATATATATATATATATATATATATATATATATATATATACATATATATACTATATATATATATATATATATATATATATATATATATATATACATATATATATATATATATATATATATATATATATATATATATATATATATATATATATATATATATATATATATATATATATATATATATATATATATATATATAATCTCTTTAGCCAAAAGTCCCTATTAGAATTCATGGATAAGATCTTGCAGATTTCTACATCATTTCTTTTATATTTTAAGAAATACAGGGGGCCCCCCAAATTCGCGGATTTTTATTTTGAGGTCCTCTATTATCCACGGCTGACACTCTGGATGTACCCAAAAATGTCTGTGGGTAGTTTTAAAGTTGCTGCCATTTTCGCAGCTGGGACAGGGAGCCATTTGTTCTACAGACAGTAATTTCCTTTTACCTGTATTGTAAATACACCCACCTCTCGTTTTATGCGGGTGTACGTTCTTGAAAACCACCGCTGAATTAAAAAATGCATAAAACATAACTTTCCCATAAGAATACATGTAAATGGTACAGGTTAGGGGAACCATCATATACCACACAGGGTACGAACAGTGCTCTCACTTAAACCAAGCACGCGGCCAACCTCCGACACACGCTCTTCTCTCTGAAGGCGGGTGATCACATTTAATTTCACGTCTATTGCAATTGTTTTTCGAGACTTTTAGCTTTAGGCGCCTCAGAGGAGGCAGATGGATGTTTTCTAGACATCCTCAATGGGGAAAACAGCGTTTAACACTAAAAAGGTACGTGATAAATACACAATGCAAATGAGAGCACAGAGAAAAAGTAGTGTTGGTGTGAACCGAGAAAGCGATACGCGGGAAGCTTGCTGGACGTCGTCACAGTTGTTGTACAGAATACGTCATTATCTTCATCATTAGTAGTAATAATCTTAATTATTACATTATTATAATAATTATTATTATTAATAATAATATTAAAATTGTTGATGTTGATATGACTGCAACTTTATAGTATTAACTTAAAAGCACCTCACCAGGCCTCACACACGAATCCACTGCCAGGCGACCAGGCAAATACGCTCAGCAAATTTAAATTGTCTTGACCATGTTATTTAAAAAAGAGGTGCGAGTAAATGACGGGTAGCTTTTGGTATTAATTGAAGAATTGAGTTATTCCAAAAACGCTTTAATCAAACGCGCGTAAAAAAAGAGTTAACTGTACGTGTGTGTCTGTATACATATATATATATATATATATATATATATATATATATATATATATATATATATATATATATATATATATATATATATATATATATATATATATATATATATATATATATATATATATAGCAGAGATATATATATTATTATATAGTTATATATATATATATATATATATATATATATGCGTATATATATAGAGAGAGAGAGCAGCATATAAAGGTGCACAGGCGTATATATATATATATAAAAGTGACCCCTCCGTTAACGAACTCAATCCGTTCCAGAAGGTCGTTTGTTAATCGAAAAGTTCGTTAACCGAAACCATTGTTTCAATGGGTTTTTGGGTAATTGGTTCCAGCTCACCGAAAATTTCCTAAATTCAACAAAAATGGTAGAAAAATTCACTTACTTTGAGGTGTGTATGTAGAAGGCTCCTGGATGATGATGATGATGATGATGATGATGATGGGATTTAGAATGGGGGTGGAGGAGAAGGAAAAAGAGAAGGCATTGGGGTGGAAGAGAAGTCACCCCATGGCACCATTTCTCCCATAAAATTTTAGTTCTCTTGGTGTATTTCAAGATTATTTTCTTTGAATCAACACTGCACTGCATTATATATTGTCAATATGTAAAATATATTTCAAAATGACCAATAATTTGCTTGGAAACACAGAAAAAAGTGTTTAGTTGAAGAGAGTCTCAAGCAAGATGTTACCTCCAGTGAAAACAGAGAGAGACTAACTCCTGTTTGCTGTGTTAAGAGGCTGGATGCCGCGCATTAAACTAGTCACTTTACCTTCAGTTATGTTCAATAATTGTTAAAATGACTAAAAAATTGAATATTAAACTTTTAAAATTATTGAATAGTATAAACTTCTTGATATTTACTAAAATAGTAAGGAATTTAAGCCCTAGAACCGATTAATGTATTGGCGGACTGATACTAAAGCTGGTTGCCCGGTCAGTGCAAGCGAAAACATGTTGAGGTCGGTTCATAAGAACTTCGTTCACCGAATTTTTTTTCGTTAACCGAATTGAAGATCCTTATGGAAGGCAGTTCGTTAATCGAAATTAAGTTAACCGAGGTGTTCGTTAAACGAGGGGTCACTGTGTGTGTGTATATATATATATATATATATATATATATATATATATATATATATATATATATATATATATATATATATATATATATATATATATATATATATATATATATATATATATATATATATACAATACAATGCAATACATATATACAATCCGAAATAAATTTTTAAAAAATGTGACAGTCTACCCTCAAGTCTGTGCCTTAATAAATAAAGCGAATTCGTAACAATGGCTTTATATTAGAAATATTTAGATTTAGGCACGAGATAGGAAAATATTGGTTTGGAGTCGTGGATGAATGGAACAAGTTACCAAACATCATCATTAACTCGAATACGCTGGATAGCTTCAAACATAGGTTGGATGGATGCATGAATGATAGGGGTTGGGTGTAAATGGGACTGCCCAGTATGGGCCAATAGGCTTGCTGCAGTTTCCTCCATTCTTATGTTCTTAGACTGTCAAATTTTGTATAAATTTGTTTCTGATTATTTGTGAGAGCATTTTCCCATTATTATTCATTTGTATGTGTTTTGAGTGTGTGTGTCTATAATTATAATGGTTGCCTCTCATGTTACGAGGATGGTCGGCCCAAAGTCCACCTCGGCGTGAATTTGTTTAAGGTGTAGAAGCTGTCGCCAACACAACAACCACACCATAAGTTAACGAGTTGTGTGAGCCAGTGTCAAGGAATAGTCCGAGAAGACCGGACAACTCTCCAATTGCACTGGCTAACCAGTACCCCAGAACATGATCCGCAAATCGATTAACATCCAGGTTCCCAATTACCACTGGGTAGACAGAGGCAAATGCCATAAAGAAAATTGCCCATAGTTTCACCCTGTCCGGGGATCGAACCCGGGGTCTGCTCGCTTGCGAGGCAAGTATGCTGACCTTTGCACCACAGGCACACACACACACACATATACAATACAAGTAAAAGAAATAATTGTCCTAAGGGCAAACACAAAGGTAATATACACTATTGAGAAACGTTTAAATTTTGATTGAGTCAGGTACCGTAATGGAAAAATACCGACATTTGAGGATTTACCCTCTGGAAAAGGTGTATCTCATATTTCGTAAAATCTCCCTATTATTTTGAATTACGGGGTTTTTACTGTACGTAGCCTGTCTGATTTTCAAATATCTAATGAAATACAAAAAATTATGAGAGGTCCTGAATGACAGGTTACAGGTTAAAAATACAAATAAGAAAAGTCACAGCTTAAAATCTTTACATTGCTCACAGGGGTAAAGACATTAACCTCAAGAGAGGAACTATAAACTTAAACCAATTTTACATTAAGACAACAACAACTAATAGCTTACTTACTACAGTGGTCCCTCGGTTAACGAGCACAATCCGTTCCAGCAGGTTGCTCGTGAACCGAAACCATTGTTCCAATGGGTTTTTGGGTAATTGCTTCCAGCTCACCGAAAATCGCCTAAATTAACAAAACCGGTAGAAAAGTACACTTACTTTGAGGTGTGTATGTAGAAGGCTCCTGGATGATGATGATGATGATGGGAATTAGAATGGGGGTGGAGGAGAAGGAAGAAGAGAAGGCATTGGGGTGGAAGAGAAGTCACCCCATGGCACCATTTCACCCATAAAATTTTAGTTCTCTTGGTGTAATTCAAGATTATTTTCTTTAAATCAACACTGCACTGCATTATATATTGTCAATATGTAAAATATATTTCAAAATGACCAATAATTTGCTTGGAAACACAGAAAAAAAGCATTTAGTTGAAGAGAGTGTTAAGCAAGATGTTACCTCCAGTGAAAACAGAGAGACTAACGCCTGTCTGGTGTGTTAACAGGCTGGATGGCGCGCCAGAAACTAGTTTTTTTTACCTTCAATTATGTTCAATAATTGTTAAAATGACTAAAAAAGTTAATATTAAACTTTTAAAATTATTGAATAGTATAAACTTCTTGATATTTACTAAAATAGTAAGGAATTTAAGCCCTAAAACCGATTACTGTATTGGCGGACTAATACTACAGCTGGTGGACCGCCAAATGCAAGCGAAAACATGTTGAAGTCGGCTCGTAAAAAACTAGTTAATCGAGGGATTGCTCGTTAACCGAAGTTAAGAATCTTGTGGAAGGTAAATCGTTAACCGAAATTTCGTTAACCGAAATTTCGTTAACCGAGGGACCACTGTACTTAATATTTCTAACATGTGTAAATATAAGTTTTGTAAATTATTTATGCTGAGAAGTGCTGCAAGACTAACCGGAGACCATTCAGCATAACCCCAAGATGCACATTCATCACGAGGACATTTAACTTGTGTGTACTGTTGGTCAGTTGCACAGCGTTCGTCTTCTACACTGTTGCCCAGGCTGGAAACACAAGCAATGACTTCACGTTGCCGCACACACTCTTCATTCTTGATTACACACTGCAAAACAAAGTTTGCACTATAATTTTATACATGTACTATGTAGCATTACTAATATATCTATGAGTATTTGATTGTCAGTAAATATGAAACTATATCTGTGCATAATTTTAATGACAAATGAGCATGAAACTGAAACAAAATCATATACAGGACATATACAGGAGAGAAAGAAAAGAAAGGTTCAACTTCAAAATACAGTACACCTGTACTGTAATCCCTTTGCTAATATATATATATATATATATATATATATATATATATATATATATATATATATATATATATATATATATATATATATATATATATTCACTGTCTATATTTACCTTCCACTAACAACAGCTCTAAATCAAACCCATTATGCTCTCTTTCCTGGTAGTACAGTATACAGTACATGGATAGGTACCAAAAATTTATTACAGTACTTAGGATAATGCTCACTCTACAGGATATATTTCTTTTATGGTGTACTGACTTATAACACATTTCAAATGCCATGGAACTATGTAATCATTAAAAGTGATTTTAGCTTTGGAATCCCTATTAGTCAGCAAAATGTAAATGACAGCATCTCTAAATGTGTTTTGGACTTAAAATTTACAGCTACTGTATTCACAAATCATTAATCCCCTTTGTACTGTATCTGCTGCATCTATGAAAGGAACTACGGCATTATTAGGTGTGCTCATATTCCTATTACAAACAGTTTTTAGGTGCCTTTAACTGTAGGGACATCCTATTCGAAAATTAACTATTTTAGGATCTACCTGATAATATTTTCATGATTAAAATTCTTAATACAGTAGAGTACAGTATTATACAAGATCAACACCAAATAAGTTACCTTAGACCAGTCACTGTATTCCCAAGAAACAGGACAAGTATGAGCACAGGATTCTTGCTGTGTTGCTGGTTTCTGATGTGAGGAACAAAAATCTTCCTTTACTTGCATTCCCGTGTCTGTCCTTACACAGTATGCAGTCCTCTTACGTTTACCTGACCAAAAAGACAAAAAAAAATGGTAAGTATTAAGAACTACCTGCACTCTTCATGTATCCAGCTTGGAAATTCAATCTCATAAACCGAGTTGTGACAAGAAGACTGTGTTTAGTATAGAAGAGACCTGTGTATAGTATAGTATAATATAGTATAATATAGTATAATATAGTATAATAGTATAGTATAGTATAATATAGACCCAGGCTATACCCTCAAAAGTGATGGATGGAGCTAGTTTACTACAGTATTAGTATGAGTTATCTCTCGGTTGCAACAACTGTCCATAATAAGGGACATCAGAAGCAATAGTAGAAATGTTAAAGTTAGGATTAGCAAAGTCAACCTTGCAAAGTTTCATGTTTGCAAATCCCTAAACCATGGGTCAGGTTAAGTCAGCTTGGGTAAGGGCTGGGTTAGGGATGATTTGGGTTAAGGGTGGGCTGGTTCAGGGTTACTTGTAAGTGTGAGAATGTATTATTCTTGAACTTTCACAGATATGACTCTCATTCAGAAACAAAGCATACCTAATTAGGGTCCTGGCAGTAGTCAAGTAAGTGCTCCCTTCTTTACCAACTTCATATATAATAACTCAACTATTCAACTATAGTACTGAGAGATGGTCTCAGTACCTTCTCTTTTCCAGCACATACTTTTCCTCTACACTCTCTATGCTTGGACTCTGCCCTCACTGACTAACATTTAGTTTTTTAACCCATAGGTGACATTATGAATGTGTGGTACTACTACTGTATTAAACTGGTTCCCAGGACTCACAGGTAATCATTAATGTCAGTAGCATGAATACATGATAACCAGTTTACTATAGATGTTGTACTGTTGAGTATATGTATTTGAATGCTAAGAAACTGCAGATAAACAACTGCCACACATATCTTTTCACTGGACAGTTCCTGCAAAGAATGATGTCAAATATGGTTGAGTAAAATTAAACATACTTTTGGTATCTAATATGGTGGACGGATGATTGGGCCACAGTAAATTTGGTCCATGGGAGTGCAGAGATAGTAGATTGAATACCGGTATTGAGTCTCTGTACACAAGGAGGTAATGTGCATGGCACTCCTCTCAACTGCCTTCACTTCCCAAATTAGCTACAGGTACCCATTAACTGGGGATGTCCTGTACAGTGTCACTTTACATATGGGTGCATGTACAGTAGATTATTTGAGGAAGAAAATTCTCTTGTTTTATTATATAATATCATTGAGTAAATTTGAAAGTCCATAACAAGACAGTAAGAAGTCTCAGAAGAAAATACAGTACAAGGCACTTTGGTAAAAGGACATACCTGTACAAGTAAGAAATACAGTTGAATAACTTAGCCTAGTTACTGCATTAGCAAAAAATTGCATCAATGTCAAACAGGACTATGTTTTTTTTTTCCTTTCGTGCATACACTGTAGCTTTTTTTTAACAAAATAAATCAGATATGAAAATAAAGCATAATGCTTTAACATTAGGGGAATATATCCAGCTCTCTCATTTAGGTAATGACTGGTTGTTTCCTGGCATTGTCAGTTAATAAACTAAATTTATACATTGCTTAGATTATCTAGGAGCAAATATAAATAATATTCTTATTTTGGTATTATCGTTTGAGTAATGCAGAAAATTTTAGAATTTTATATTTAGGTTAGGTTAGGTTGAAATTACGATTTTCCGATGGTTTTTGATGTATTGAATGACTTACAAATACAGTAGGTGCATGAGCGAAATGATAATTTTACCCTTATTTATTGTCATTTTTCATTTTAAAGCAGTGTAAGAATTCGATAATTTCTGTGTGGGTTACAATATTAAATAGAATATGACTTACAGGTACCTGTAGTCTCTTCCCCACTGAAATAACTCATGAGAGGTTTTACACAAAAAATATAGTCTTCAATACACTTCTGTGAGTGAAGTCAAATAGGAGAGGATGGTAATGCTAAACATGGTTAAACAGAGATAAAAGTGGTCCAAGAAATAACTTCAACTACTGTTTAGGAAGCACCACATAACGACAATGTTCCCAACATGCCAATCAGTGTGATCTATCATGCAAAATCTCTTGCCCAAGACACCCTGATAACACGAGAAAAGACTATACTATAAAAAACAATCTTATATTCTCATTCGCTGTATAGGACTGGTTAATCAATTTCTTTATCGGAAATTTTTTTTCTACTTACCAACACAAGGCTCGGAGCAATTGGTCCAGTCACTTAACCGCCAGTAGTAATTGGGGTCGGAATGCAAATTGGATTTTGTGTAGCTATACAAAATGTAGGGTGGGTTCAAATCACCCACTGACAGAATCTGAAGACAAAAGTAGTGTTCATCACAAAATAAATACATACCCAATAATGTCATATACTGTAATACATAAATTCTAAATCCTGTAAATGCATTAATACACTGAAATAGCATTTAGATATTCTTTACATAAGATTGAATTCTTCTAAACACCAGTGCTGTAGTTTATTTTGTGATAGTACTTCTATAATTCTATACATGTATAATAAAAACCACACAATTATGTAGCCAGTACACTTAGAACTAAGAAAAAGGTAACACCCATTGCATTTAATGGTAAATCTTATTTACAGATCTGTTTAATTTTTCGTAACATTGAAAGGCATTTTTTAGTAATTCAAAGTGGGGTTGATTAAATAATCTAACCAGTGAAATAGGGAAAAGGATTATTTGGTCGGGGTGGTGAAGGTGAGGTAAATCTAACCTATCTAACTGAATGTAACAAAAAAATTAAAAAAATCTAGGAATCCTTATCTACAGTTTTATGCAGGAGTTATTTTTTTTTTAATAAAGCACTTTTTAAGATTTAAGTACCAAAAATTTGATGGTTGACTATGAGGTACAGTCTGAACCTAAATGACAGCGAATTTAGTTAAAGCTGTTGTATAAAATTAAAGGTGTTACTTTAAACGGATTTGATAATGAGTGGGGAAGAATTTAAAAATCTAGCTGACAAAGTTATTAGGAGAATGTTAAAAGGAAATGGCAAATCTGAGTAATGAAGAAACACCGCACATGGTGATAAAGGCAAATAATTGGAATTTATGATTACAAAAACTGGCGATAGAAAATCAAACATACTGTATGAAAGTGAACATAGTACAATATTGTACTTGGTAAAAAAAGGTAAAGTAAAATAAAGTTGTCTTGCAAACATGGTGGGGAATGCAGTATGCTAAAAGCCTGCATGATAGAGTATCTGATCCATTCCTTCTGTATGGATGCGAAACTCGAAGTTTACACTATACAAATGAGTCCGAAATGACAGCGAGAGAGATAAATACCCTGTACTGTAATTAATTCATAAAGCCCTATAAAGTTAAAATGAAATATGAGCATATATATATATATATATATATATATATATATATATATATATATATATATATATATATATATATATATATATATATATATATATATATATATATATATATGCAGTTGCCTGAAAGACGAATGGATGTTAGAATATTGGATGGCCTGGGCGTTTGGAATTCTGTTGAATGATGATGATTTACAGAAGATGATTTGCATTAATACTATAATAAGTGAACAGATGGACAGCTTAAGTGATTGTTTAACTAGCAGTTTACTCATGTCAAGGAATAATCTGATGAATTACTGAAATGAGTGACAAGATACTGGTGGTTTGTGGATGAAGGTGGTAGATTAAATCGAGATGAAAGCCTCACTGAAGAATCATTTTAATGAGTGGAATGAATTACAGATGAAGCCTTCCATCATTTTAATAAATACCTGATTTTGTATGACTCATCATCATGTGTTAATGTTGAACAGATTAATTTTTTACATTTATCTTCGCGGACATTAAATTTTTAAAGAAGACTTGTATGGTTGTTCTACATAATTTGTTTGGTAAGTAATTATGGTTTGGTAGTTTGATAAAGAAACAAATAAAAATCAGGAATTACTGTACATCGAGGAAACAAGTGACTGTAAAACTCTATGGCAACTCACACCCACATTTCACTATACAATATTCTATAACAATAGCTGGCAATTTACAATTACTGCACAAATCTAAAGTTGTTAATATAACAGTAATACAAACTTACGGACCTGAACCAATAGTTTCTTCTGAAGAGGTTTAGTAGAATTGATGTGCTCTGTAATTGAACTGGAGCCAGAGTATTCAAGTAGCGTCCCCCCAAATGCTACCAGCTTACGGAAAGGTGTTACAACCGAGCCACCATTAAGCAAATATTTCCCTGTTTCTAGATCAACCAGTGCTGTAAATAAAACGGACAGAAAGGCCTAAATCAGTACAAGGTATGGATACCAAATGTAAAAAAAAAAATATCATAAAGCATCTTAGTATGTACTGCATAATTCAATTTATGCCTGTATATAAATAAAGTTTTCCCAATACTTTAGAGCAGTTAGTTATTTTTATTTTACTTGGATTGGAGCTCTGAATTTGACATATCAAAATAATTATTACAGTGTTAGGTTCTTGTAATGCCAATTAATTAAAAGGAACAATATTTCTGTAGTTGACAGAGCTCAAATAGAAAATGTTACACAGCAGGAAGAGGAACACATACCAAGATAATTATCGTCAGTATTTTGATCACTATAGGATCTCTGGGTGATATCTATCATAGCAGCCCCTTCAGGTATGATGACAATATCTGTGTAGCCGTAGGGACGAGATTTCTCCACAGACCCTGCAGTCACCTGACATGTTGAGTTGTCCCCATTACACACACCACAGGTATCTGGCCCAGGTAAAGGTAAAATTATTAGTTCCACGTAAATTAGTAAGCAAATACAGTAGTCAAATAGACATATGCCAGGGCGCACATCAGGTTACACACGCACACCAGCTGCAATGAGATGTAGCTATGCTCAGGAATATTTACAGAATCTTATTAACTGGTCCTATAATGTACTAAAAGTAGTGGTAGCTGTATATCGAAATGTCAAGAAGGGGGACATGGCAATCAAAAGGAAAGAAGGGCTAATTATATTCTGACAAGCAAGTAACTTTTATATTTGCTTCTATCAATTATTCAGTGTCATTTATTATTACAGTTTACATCATATTTTTAGTCCATGTAGAAAAAGGTGCATGTTATCTTACCAGCCTTTGCTGTGGAGTTGAGGACATAATCACACCCAGCCTTGTGACATTTGCCATTGACGCATATGTCATAGGTGCCAGGTCCGCATGTTGTGCCATCCTCAACCTTATCTCGTAACTTGAAGTACGAGGTTCGAGTTTTATTATAAACTTGACAGAACAGCTGACAACTATCCTCTCGAGAAACTGATGAAGATGATGGATTAGTAAGAGAGTAATGTATAAAAAAATAACTGAACTTAGCTTTAATCCTGTTTTATATATCATTATCTTACACTATTTGAGAAATCTGATTCTCTTTTGGCAAACAGTATGAAAAAGAAAAAAAAGGAAAATGGAACTTACTCCCGGCATATTTTGGAATCCAAATGACATCTTCGGGAATATCAGAGAGGCCAAAATTCTTGTTGTTGTACACCTGGCATTGTTGCGTGCGGAAGTCTAATGCTTCCGAGGGACATGGCTTCATTATGCATGATTCATATCTCACCCGCTCACCTGTACAGTACCTTCCACCATAAGTAGGCTTGGGGTCATCACAGTGTCTTGTAGAACTCCGCACTCCTACACCACAGGTGCGGGAACAAGAACTCCATCTGTTTAATGAGGGAACACAGGTAAATCATTTAAGCATCTTTTATAACTTTTTTTAATGGAATATTCTGTACTGTATAGGTGTTTGAATATGATTGAAAGGAAAGCTTTCAGAACTCCATGTACTGAAGAAAGAAGGAGAAATAGGACATATAAGAGAAAAGAAAAAAGAGTAAATATATAGAAATAATAAAACAAAATTCTAAATAAAAAACTAAAGGTCCCCACACACATATCCACTAACTATACCCACAAATACAGAAACATTAAGCAACTAACCACGAGACAAACATTTATAACAGACATAAACCAAAAACTGTTACTAAAACTCATTCGTACTTGTGCCTCTTGTACACACACACACACACAGGTAAGTTTGGAGTTAGTACTCTTTGTACATATAAACTTATGCCCTGCTTGTGGTTTCTAATGGCCTTTCCATGCCTACAAATGGCCATTAATGGTCACGCATAGAGGACAGTGATCATCCTTCTTGGGCTACTTCATTTATGCCATTTTTACACCCAATTTTATATATATATATATATATATATATATATATATATATATATATATATATATATATATATATATATATATATATATATATATATATATATATAATTAAATAAAAATTTTATCAATTTATAGCACAAGACATAATAAGATTTATTCTTCTAATTAAAAGTTTAGACACAAGACGATTTTCATCATAAAACCTTTAGTGCATTTTACTCATAATAGATACTATATCTGTAATTGAAAATCAGAAAACCTCTAGAAAACCTATTATTGTATTGCATTCGTTGCCACCAATTTAATCTCGTGAAATTTTTTTTGCAAACAATAGTTTAGGCAATTACAAGACACTTTTATTCTATGCCAGGGAGTCTGGGAGTAGAGGCGCTACTTCAAGTTTATAAGGGATTCATTCGTCCTAACATGGAGTACTTCTCTCATATCTGGGGTGGCTCTTCTGTCCAACTGTTAGATAGGGTGGAATCAAAGGCATTTCGTCTTATTAACTCTCCTCCTTTAGTCGAAATCTCTCTTCCCTCTCTCTTCGCCTCAATGTTGCTTCACTCTCTCCTTTACAGGTACTTTAACGGGCAATGCTCAGTGGATTTGGCATCCTGAGAGCTCGTAACACTCGCCTTGCCCGCGGTGCCCACTGTTTCTGTGTGGATCTCAGTCACACTAGAATAACCCGTTGTAGTAGTACATCCTTCTTTCCTCACAGCCAAACTGTGGAATGCTCTGCCTTCTGTGTATCCATAATCATACACTGTCTCACTTCAAAAGGCTGTTTTTCCATGAGCTTCGTGGTGTAAATTAATATACTGTAGTCTTTTTCTGTTCTATTTTTAATTTATTTTTACTCTTATTTTTTCACTCTCCAGGCCCCGTTGTGGGTCGACGACCTGTGACCGGGTAGGCTATTCCTCGTAAAAAAAGAAAAAAGATAGGCTTAGTTGATACTATCAACCAAGGACTAGATACAGTGAGGACACACCGCTGTAACGTCATAAACTTTAGCTCCGCCCCATTGAATGTCCGGGACCTTGGTTGACATTTGATTGTTTCCTTATTTTTAGAATACTCTTAAGGTTAAGGCTTTTTTCTGACCAGGTATAACAAAATGAATGCGTTATGTTCTCATAGTCCTCCCAAAGATAAGTGATACTGCAAACAAAAGCACAAAGAAAATAGCAAAATATTACAAGGAAACACCTGGGGGGTGCAGGTGTAGCGGACCAGAAATTACCCGGATCAGAAGTGTACGAAACGACAACTCACCATTGCTGAATTTGATGATGTATATCAACCTCAATATTAAGGGAAGTTGTTTAACACATAAATTAACACGATAATGCTTGGGTTTGTTAGGTCAGGTTGTATTAGGTTCTATGTTGTGACATCACCAACAGCGCATGCGCAGTTATCGTTTTGTATACTTCTAGTCTGGGTAACTTCTGGTTCGCTACACCGGGACCAAACGCGTGCACACACGGTTATCACATGATGCGCGTTTACAAAAGTGACGTCACCGAGCTGTGCATTGTGGGTAAAACAAGTGCTCAGTGAACTATCCTTACTGTCTTTAATACTTGTCAGCAACCACATATTACAAATTAAGTTATCCTAACCAACCAAACCTAACTAACCTTACCTAACTTCCTAACCGGAGAGGGCGGTCCCCTCGGCATATAAAATATCTCGGTTGTAGCTCGTTTGCGAGGGAAATGTCATAGAAAAAAGTGTTAGAATTGTCTAAACTATTTTTTTTGCAAAGAAAAAAATCACAAGATTCGCTTGGTGGCAACATGCAATAATAGCTAATAATTTTTTTAGTACCTCCATTAGTTTTCTAATTAGCAACTCACGATATCTCGGTTATGGGTAAAATGTGAGAATAGCGTCAAAGAAAGTCGCCTTGTTTTTATCTGATTTTATTATTAAATAAAACAAAAAACTGCCATTTCTTGACACGTTTAGAATTTTTCTATTAGATTTCTGATTTTCAACTCCCGATATCTGGTTTATGGGTCAAATGCACCAACAGTCAAAGAAGATAAAATCACAAAAAAACACCGAATTATGTCCTATACGAAAAATTAACCACTAATTTATTAATCTTAGATAAGTATGGGGATTTTATTTGGCATGCTAAATACTGGGGCTACTGAAAATGACATGCGGTACTGAAACTTTATCACCACTCTGCGTTAATAAGCAAATAGCAAACTACAGCAGTGCATAATCATTTACTGTTAGGCAGTTATAATACACGCTGTAAATATGGTAAAAAACAGGGAACACTTACTCTAACCAATCACCCCATTTACCATGCACCTTCTTCATGACTGTTTTATCCCTGGGCACGCACTTGCCCCGAAGGCACCAGCTATCTGGGTTACAGGTAGTGCCATCAGCCCAGGGCATGTGTTGTGTTCGGCAACCTTCCTTCTCATCCAAGGACGTGGTGCACCATAGCCGCTTACAAGTAGGCTGAAATACCACATCCAAGAATATTATTGTTTAATAATACAGTATTTATATTACATTATAAACAACAAATACCATTAAATTAAGCCAGTGGATATTTTGCCTTGATCGGCTAAGTTCCTACTGACGCTATTTTACCGTGAGTATGGTCTAATTGGCTAATCGTCCATTACCGGCGAACGGGAGAACTATATTCGACCGTGACTGGCTGTATTTGGCATTTATTTAGCCGTGAGTCGATCGTTGTTTAGCTGTAAACATACTTAACCACATTTCTGTTGTGCATGGAAACTTCTCATTATAAAAGAGGCGACATTTACTAGAACCTAATAGAACCTGACCTAACCAACCAAGAAACCAACTTAACCTTACCAAACTTCCAAGCCGAGGGGCGGACTTGCCGTCATATTAAACAGAAAGTACTTAGCCAATCAGAGCGCCCTGATGGTAAAATAGCGTTAGTAGGAACTTAGCCGGTCATGGCAAAATATCCAGTTAAAAAATGATAAAATCAATAACAAAGAAATCTTACTACAGTATTTTAAGCCAATAGATGTAATTTGATGATATTCCTAGTCAAAACGAAACTACTGTACCTTAACATTAATCCAATGCTTCTATTTGTGAGTTTATTCATATATATATTGTTTAATTATTTGTAATATATACAGTATTTGTAAAAAAAAATCACGTAAAAATTGCCATTTCATTTAACCTCAATGATTAAGGTAAAATAAGTAACGCGATAATGCATTCGTTAAGGAATTATCAGACTTGCTCATTTTCCCTCCAACCTCCGATCAGATTGCTTCGTACTCTGATAGCTGCACATACAGACGAAATAGCCGAAGGCGAAGAGGCTAGGAACATAAAAAATACACCTACACAAAACATGCACTTTGTATTACAGTATTATTATTGGTATTATTTTATTATTTTTCTATCTTTTATAGATATGCTATGAATTATTATTATTATTATTATTATTATTATTATTATTATTATTATTATTACTATTATTATTAAATTTTCGCCCCCCCCCCCAGGCCCTAATGTGGGTCAAAGACCTGTGCCTTGGTGGGCTAATCCCTGGAAAAAAAAAAGCAGGTGAGGTGAGTGTGTTCCAACTTCCAACCCAAGCAGTTATCAACAAGTTAAAACCTGCATAAGCAGCAGGGTGTTATATCCTGTTGGTAGCTGTTGAGTTTGAACCAGTGCTGTGCCTGTCACATACATATGTGTGTATAATATATATTGCTTAACATAATTCATTCGTGATCTAATATTTTAAAACCAAATTATGGAGGGAACATTCATATGACTAAATCTGTTTTTATTAGACCAATGGCACTGTTAAACAAAAATGAATATGAAAAAGTTTACATAAGAACATATAATAAAAACAAAATCAACCCTGGACCCGGGCCAAACATCAAACTTAGCTGGAGTGATAGCCTCTTTACTATGTTTGGTTGATACTATGTTTGAACTTTGCCCTTCAACTGTAATGACCATTGACATATGTAACATTGTTATAATGACACATAGTGGTGAAGAATAGTGAAGACATGTTTACTGAATAAACAGTTTAGCCACCCTCCCAAATGGATAGATGATAAAGTTAAACCTTCTACCACAAGGCGTCTGTTTTCGGTGGGTTTATAATATAAAGGGCTAGTAAGTACTATTATAAATATAAAAATATATACGAATTTGACTGAAACACTCACCATGTAGGGACAGATGCGAGAGTTCAGCCCAAACACATACTGACACTGCTTGCTGGCATTAAAGAGTTCCCCAGCTAGAGTAATTTCTGTTGTCTCTTCTATCAATTTATTTGTCCATGGCTCATCCTCCAGACACCGGCCGTGGCCGACTCTGTAAGGGTGGAAATAGAAGATATATATATATATATATATATATATATATATATATATATATATATATATATATATATATATATATATATATATATATATATATATGAATTAAGGTATTCCATAGAAATGGAGAAGAATGAAGGTAAACCCGGTTTCAAAAACAAAATTTTTCAAATAATAATTTACTCTACAGTATATTCAGGCAACCAGATACTGTATTAAGTACAGTGTTCTGTACCCACACTGACCCTAACGGGCAGTCATGCCTATTTAGACCCACTTTTACTTTTTCACTGGCACTAGTTCCCCTCAGCCCATTGGCATTGGCCAGTTAGGTGTAGTGGGGATATTGCATAGCACAATAGACTATAGTATGTCATTTTCATTTTTAAACAGAAGTTTGTAATAAAAACAAAGTACTATGTCTTAGCCAGCTGTTCTGATGATAAGGAGCAGATGAGTGACTACTCGCTTCCCGGTCTGGACAAATAATCACTGCATGGACAAAAAATTAACAGATTTACCATATATGCTATTTAGGACAATTATTCTCATGCACAGCAAACCTGCACATATACACAGACACACATAGTCAGACATAATGTCACTCACTGCAGGAACTCAGTGAGGTAGTGTCTGGAGCAGTTGGACCACTCCCAGGGTAGTGTGTTATGGTCCAGCATACGACTCATCACGTTCATCCGCTGGTTTGACTCGTCGTCAGGTCCCTGTAATAAGCTGCACTTATCGTCATTGTCGTGCGGCATGTTCAGCCTATGGAGGAAGAGGAGGTACATAAATATCTCAAAATGAATATATATATATATATATATATATATATATATATATATATATATATATATATATATATATATATATATATATATATATATATATATATATATATATATGATAGAGAGAGAGAGAGAGAGAGAGAGATATTACTAGTAAAAAAAAAAGAGACTTTCTCAGCATCTCAGGTTCTCAGGTACTGCAACTATACTGTATAAGGCATAATAAATTTTAAAGGCGAACTTTGCTTAATTAATGAAACACAGAAATAACACTGGACTTAGGAAAAACAGTACAGGACTGCTATAAACTCCAGATACATTGAGATAACTTAAAATATACAATACAACTATGTACAACAATAACAACAGTTGTAACCTAATAGGGTACTAACAGGTGTCCAAGTTCGTGCGCGATGGTGAAGGCAGCGGAGAGGCCATTGTCCTGCACAATGGCACAGGAGGAGTGACGAGAGCACATCGTTCCCAGTTCAGCCAGACCAAGTGTGTCGCAGCTCTTTGTCCAGGGGTTACGGCAGATATTCTCCCTGGAGAAAGCCAAGATTTATAACCTATATTGTAGTTTATATTGCATTTTAGTCTATATGCTAGTCGTTATCAAACACTACTGTTATAAAGTACCTTAGTATGAAATGTGAAGCATCACATCTAATTAAACTTACTAATCTAACCAAACTTACTAAGTTAAACCTATCTATATTGACCTAACCAAATTTATTACTCTAACCAACCTTATTAACCTAACCGAACTTATTAACCTAACCAAGCTTACTAATCTAACCAAACTTATTAACCTAACCACTCTTATCAACCGAAGTACTGTAATTAATTTACAAAACATTTTACCTTAAAGTTCATGACCCTACCAGACTTCCTAACGTAAGCAAACTTTTTTTTTTTAACGTGGAAACACCGACATCCATTGTAAGGTGTCTTGTGATCACTTGTTTGTATGGCAGGGGTGGTAGGTTGGTGGGTGTTGTGGTGAGTGATTGATTGATGGTAGTGTTGTGGTGGGTGTTGGTTGATTGGTGTTGTGGTGATTTTTGTGGTGGGTGATGTGGTGGGTGGTGTGACGAGTGGTGGTTGATTGGTGGCGTTGTGGTGGTTGATTGGTGGCGTTATGGTGGATGATGTGTGTAGTGGTTGATTGGTGGCGTTGTGGTGGTTGATGTGTGTAGTGGTCGATTGGTGGCTGATGCGGTGTGTAGTGGTTGCTTGATGGCTGATACGATGCGTAGTGGTTGATTGGTGGCTGATGCGGTGTGTGGTGGTTGATTGATGGGTGGTGGTTAGTAGGCTGGGTCGGTAACTGGTTGAGAAAATGACTCACCTGGTCAGTAGGATGGCAGTGTCGTATCGCCTGGGGTGGTTGGCGCTGCGTTTAAGACCCATTTGTTGCCACTTGCAGAACATCTTGAGCATCTCCTCAGCGGACTTGCCCGGCAACTCGGCACTGTTTTCGTGGTTTCTCTTGGAGACATAAAACTGGTGGTCCTGCTTCACCACCTCAACTACGGCGATGTCGATACGGTTGCCGATGCTCGCATCTCGGAATATTAACGCCACCTGGTGTGGATTAACATAAACTTAATATAATCTTAATGATACAAAACCATGCATAACTTAAATTAATGTGCAATATTTAAGATACACCAGAGTTGCAATTAACACTATCATTTGAGTGCATTAAAATATAGTTTTACCTGAAAAAGAATAATAATGTATCACTGCGTACAATAAAACCAGGTAAACGTTAACGCTCACACCAAGGCCGAAACCAGACATATTTTGACGCAAATTTTCCGAAGACAGACAATATGCGACGCCGCGGTGGGTATTATGATTTCAGCTCAACTAATACCTGTCTTTCTAAGGAAAGGGAAACTGTCTTCCTATAGGATAAAATTTGAAAGATTCCAATTCGATGTGATTCGAATATAGTGTGAGATATGTGTTGTTAACTTGGCTCACTCGTGCTGACAATTTGCGTCAGAATATTTCCGTTCCGGCCTCGGTGTGAGGGCGCTAAGGAGGCAACATGTATGCAGTACACTCCAGCAGACCATACACAAAGAATATGAACAAAAGAATTTTGAGGGATTTTTCTTCGTACAAAAGATATCGAAACCTTTCAACAAATAAATATTCATAAAAATACATGAAATAAATATACCAACTTATAAACAAAGAAAGAACACCACAAATCCACCATCTCTCCAACAGCAAAATATAAGAACTCAACACTTCAGACGAGGAGACATTAGTAAGACAGGTAATCTGACCACCTTAAAGAGCGAGCCATAAGGAGCGACGCCTGCGATTATTACTCCAGTAGGAATAAAAAAAAATACCCTAAATAGATTTATATCCATACGCTAGAGATTCAATATTCCTGGAATGAGATATGATATGAAAATGATTAAAACTCGACATTAACATCCAGAACAACAGCAATACAATAATGATACTATGATGACCAAAATATGCGACAGCAGACTGTTAATGGCCTGAAGAAACACGTGAACTCTTCACTTTCTACAGTATGAGCGTGTGTCAATCTGAGCTCTGAGGGTTTGCAGGATGGGGAGGAGTTTAAAGCCTATGAAAGGAGAAGCTATCGTCAACAACACAGAACATGTCTGGAAGTTCAGTTGCGAACTCGGCATCAGCAAGAAATATGTAGGAGCGGCGTGCTGACGGAGTATGACAAGAGCATCAGCGTGCGGGAGGTGGGGATAGGAGAGGTACTAGTGCTTGTCAGACGCTGTGTAAGGTGAGGCGCCCGCCACCCCAGCGACGTTTTGGGCCATACAGGGTCAACATACTACTGTGTGTGTGTGTGTGTGTGTGTGTGTGTGCTGGACATTACCATACTTGGGAATCGATCCTCTCATAATATGATAACAAATGACATTAACACTGGCAAGTACCCTTACACGAAACGTGATAACACTGGCAAATACACAGAACAATAAAACAAATGTAATCATAATTTCGTAATACACAAAAACAAAGGATGAATAACAAGAAGTAAACAAAGAAAAATATAAATAAGATTAGTAAAATTATTGAATAAACTGAGATAACTGTCCACAGATAATAATAATGATGTACTCTAGATAATGTAGACATTTTCAATAACAAATGATGAGATGGAAAAATGTCTTATTTTTTTACGTATTCAATAAACAGTAACGTTGAGTGTGGTGGAGGTAAGGTAGTGTGGTGGGGGAGGTAGTGTGTGGGGAGGTAGTGTGTGGTGGGGGAGGTGTGTGGTGGGGAGAGGGGGTGGAGGAGGGTAAGGTAGGTGGGTGGGGGGAGGAGGGTGGGGAAGGGGTGGGGAGGGAGTGGGGAGGTGGGGAAGGTAGGTGGTGGGGAAGGTAGTGTGGGGGAGGTAGAGGGGCGGGGAGGTAGAGTGTGGTGGGGAGGTAGGGTGGTGGGGAGGTAGAGTGTATGGGGGGAGGTAGGTAGAGGTGTGGTGGGGGAGGTAGAGGTGGGGTGGTGGGGGGGAGAGGTGGGGGGTGTGTGTGGGTGGGGGAAGGTGTGTGTGTGGTGGGGAGAGGGTGGTGGGGGGTAGGGGGGGTGGGGGAAGGTGGGGGGTGGTGGGGAAGGTGGGGTGGTAGAGTGGTGGGAAGGTAGAGGTGTGGGGAAGGTAGAGGGGGAAGGCTGAGTGTGGTGGGGGGAGGTAGGGAGTGGTGGGGAAGGTAGGTAGGTGGGTGGGGGAGGTGGTGGTGTGGTGGGGGAGGTGGGGAGGTAGGTGTGTGTGGTGGGGGAGGTGGGGGGTGGGGAGAGGGGGGTGGGTGGGGTGGGGAAGGTAGTGTGGTGGTGGGAAGGTAGTGTGGTGGGGAGGTGGGGGAGGTGGGAGAAGGGTGGTGGGGGTGGCAAAGTGCCACCACCACGTGTGGTGGGGGAGGTAGTGTGTGGTGGGGAGGTAAAGTGTCTACTACCACCACCCTCCCACCCTATGTTCCCCACCACCACCACCACCACCACCCTCCCACCACCCCAATATTCATAATTTTCATCAAATACAGATGATGGTATTAAGACTCGGTGATTCGTACGTTATATGGGTTTCAGAACATACCCCATAACCGTACCTATAAAACATGCACTCACTGGGGATACGAATCTGTGTACTGTACATGTTGAGGACAAAAGTTCGCTCCCTGTGGTGAAACTGAGTCACGGGAATGAGTCTCCAAACTGACTTACACCTGACTGTTTCATCTCCCTTGGGGTCAACGCTGCTTCATTTTGGGCAGGAGCGAACTTTTGACCCTGACTGTACATGTTGGGGTGTACTCATCATGCTCATCAAAGTGTACACGTGTAAGTGTACTAGGGCCAGAAACTGACCACGGACATCAGGGTGTACTGGCTGATGTGCACTGACCACGGACATAAGGTTGCACTGGCTGAAGTGTACTTACCACGGACATGAGAGTGAGGACATACTGGTTGAAGTGCTTGCCGTGATAACTTGCCAATTTGTTGTCCACGACGACCATCACCTCAATGGAGTAGCGGCGGGAGTACAGAAACCTCCGTCGTCGGTGTCTGGTAGGTCCCGACGGAGCACCTGAGGGAGAGGAAGACCAGAGGAGGCAGTTAGTATAACCCGTTCTTTGTCTGCCGGTTCTCTACATATACCTGTACAGTACTATGGTCGCTCTGTTCTGAAATACATAATAAAATGTTAAATATCTCGTTTACACTAAATTTGCACCAGAAATGCCATTGAAGAAAAGTGTCGTATACTTGTCAAAATTATTGATTGCAACTATAAAGTTACCGAACTTTTAGTGGCAACAAGTGAAATAATACCACAAATTTTTATCGCCTACATTTAAATAATAATATTTTGTCTAAAGTTTCAGACGGATCTTGAGTGTTAAGAAGCGTTTTTAAACCTATAAATTCTTTTAAAGGCCTATTAGTAGGTTTGCCCTTTTCCGTTTACAATCCCGAGAATCTGAAAAAAAGCGGCCCTGCATCGCGGAGGAAGGAGGCGGCCTCAGACTGAGGATGCCTCCCACCTCCCCTCCCCGGACAATAAGCATTAGAACACACAGTGCGGAAATTATCCATAATCACTACCCAGTACAGTTGGCCTATATATTCTACTTTGCCTGAAAATTTTGGTTTCGACAGACGAAGAAACACCATGAAATGAACTAAGGAATACAGTTACTCTCTTCTACAAGGTAAGGGGATTATAACTGAAGACACGTGTCATAAAGTCAACGCCACTAAACTCCCCACACACCAATCCTGGACTCCATATTTGTGTCGAAGCTTGAGTCAGTTGGATAACTCTCTAACATTACCAGTTGATAAAACAAACAAAAGACTTACGAATGCGTCTCAGAATGGCCAATTTATAGGAGAGGACAGAATTAGATATAGTATTTTGTGTTTATTGATATTTCAGATAAAAACAAGACGATTTTCTTCTATGACACTTTTACCTATAACCGAGATATAGTGAGTTGAAAATCGGAAAACTACTAGAAAAGGTATTACTGCATTTGTTGCAATAATACCTTTTCTATCTCTTCACCCATGACTCACACACTTATTGTACTATATTACACAATGATTCACAAGACTAAATTCAGTTAAGAGAGCCTCAGCGATTTCCACACTTTTTTTTCCTATTCCTTAAATGTCTTTATTTTTGGGGGGTGGGGTGGGGTGGGTGGGGAGTTCTTTCTATTATCGGTACATTCCACATCTCCGCCTTCATTGTTATGATCTTCGTGCCATTTCCATCTTATATTTTTCTCTTTTAAACATACGAATTATCTCGCCCAGTCTGGTATATTAATTCATAAGTTTATCCAGGTCAAGTAAATTTGATTTGGTTTGCATTACATTAAGCGTACACAACACCATCACACGCAGCAGTCACATGATTCCTTCTATTACTCTTGTTTCCAGTTCTTGAAATCATAATTAATATTTCCCTAGGGGCAGGATACGAGCTATACTATTATCCAAACATGGTGCTCAATCTTTTTTTGCAAGAGGTCCAAACTTAATGTCAAGCAGTACTCGGGGCCACACACCTGTATGAATGGTGAGAAGTCAAGCAAACAAACTATATTTTAATGGTATGTGACATTAGGATCCAACAGAGAAGCTATAATATTATTAAAAATCAATGTTTATAGTTAGACGTACTGTATATAAACAAAAATGGTATTTCGGATGCAATGATGGTACGCATTTTGGCGCCTTGATTTATGGATGGGGGGCTGTATAAAAATTGCTTGCGGGACGGACGGCCCGCGGCCCGCTGGTTGGGCATCCCTGATCTAAACTGTGGTATGAGTGGGGAGGCTTGTGAAGGGCGAGTCCTGACCCTTCTAGTTCTCTCTTGTTTTCTCCTCTCCTCCACCCTTCACTGATAGCATCTCACTACTCAAGGCTCCTGCCGGTCTTCACGTCACCCTTCCCACCCATTTTAAGGGAACCTGCGAGAGGAACAAGGTATTGCGCTCAGTGACTGTTGCCTCGCTCCGCAACTGGCTTTAACTGAACGTGATTTCAATAAAAACATGATTTTCGACGAAGAAAACCAAAACAATAATTTTTTAATTAGTATGTGCCGAAAAATACACACAACACCAAGTCAAGTATTCCTAGATATAACTTAAGGATATGATATGAAAATCAATATTTCTGCGGGACTTTGTTCCCTCTAATTGCTAATGACGAAGGGTCTAGAGGGGATGGGCGGGGCAAGTTTGTAAGTCGTGAGTGGGCGTGGGCGGATATATACCCACCTTTGTCGGTGGGCGGAGTCGTGGACCTCAAGACAAGATAGCACACTGACCTTTGTACCACCTTCAATAGTCTTCTCCTCCCCATCCATTGTCGAGTCTGATCAGATCCCAGTGAAGCTCTGTCTTCTTTTTTATTCATCTCCTTTTGTCTTCTAACGACGAGCAGTTTTATTATACAGTACAAGGCAACCTATTATTTAATGTTCAGTTTTCTTCCAAATGCAACGAGACGTCTGCCTAGATACACCTTATACTCACAGGCCTATGAAAAACTGAACGCTATTATTTTCACTGAGGACAGACTATAAATATGCAGCAATATAATGTGACCATGACCAAGACACCTGCTGGGGAGTAGGTTAGTTAGCCTTGGTCACAAAAATAATGGTCCTTCTTGGTCACCTGTTGATCGTATCCATTGATCTCCTATTAAGAGGTCGTCTTTCAGGATGTCTTCCTGATATCCCTTCAGCTCGATCTTCTACTGATGTCTCCTCTTTCTTGGTCTCCAACTCGATGCTTCTCGTTTTTTTTGTCTCCTACAAATGGTTCGTATTAATGGATTCATTTCCTGGTTTCCAACAGATGAAGCCGTTGTTCCTTGTTCTCCTGTTTGTCTCTTCCTCGGTCTCCTCCTCTTTATCTACCCTTTATAGTCCTTCTTCTTGATCTTCTATTAAGGATTTTTTCCTTCCTATTCTTTTACCCCCCCCCCCTCATGCACCGCATGAAACAAACATGAAATACTAAAAAGATAATGTCGCCCTGTCCCACCTCAAATCTTGGATACACACCGCACAACATGAGACTTGACGAAAAGTAGGACTTCAAACTCTGGGAAGTGAAACACCACAACAGACGGACCAGACGCAGTAGCTCTTGTGTCTATGACGACTACACACAAGGCCGGATTGATAATAATGTTACGAACCCCTTTTCGCTGCTTACTCAGCTTCCACCACTGGTTATCAGACCAGGTCGTATATACCGAAGCAGTAGATATATCACAGGTGTCGTCGAATTACCACTGGCTGTCCCGCCAGTCTCTGGTAATTTCCAGACGATTGGTAACAGTGTACAGACAAGACAAACAGGCAGGTAGATTTCCACCAGGTCACAGAAACACACTTGTGCACTGTAGTCCTCTTTAATAAGCACTGATTCTTCAGATCACTGTTAACAGGGAAATGGCTTCACAGCTGGACTTCTTACTTCGAATATATACTGTAGTCGGCACTCTACCAGTTTACAATTCATTAGTCTTCTTACTTTGCTGTGCATTAATCACAACAATTCCACAATACTTGCACAACAATAATATTGTCTTCAGTTATTCTGCTAGGTTTATTCTTTACACTCTGAAGAGAAGCGATCGACTGATTCCTGATGAAGATGATGAAATGGAGAGAAGAGAACCTTTTGCTCTGAAGATGGAAGACTGACTCCTATTGCATTGGAGTCATGAGTTATGAGGTGAAAGAAGATTATTAGGGATTGAAGAAAGGTGGTGAAACTGAAATACAGTAAGAGTAGAAAGAATCTGGGCTCAAACCAGATCGCTTCATCTTATCTGTTGTTTTTTCATCTTTGTTTTGCTCAGCCTGCTCGCTGGTGCTTATATATGCCTCTTCAGACGCCTCTCGAACATCCTAGCATCACCCAGAGACGCCTAGGAGATTCTAGAACGTTCTACCCTGATCGACTTACAATAATAGGTAAATCATAACAAAAATAATGCAATACATTCTAGAATATTCTTACATAATTAATACATCAATATATACACGGAAATTTCACTAAATTTGCCAAAATAACTGCTGCATGGGGAAGAAAACAATCAAAACACCTAGTTTACAAGATTATGCCTCGGCATAATATATGACTACTACTACTACAACACTACTACTTTGCTGTCACTCGGAATCTAGCATGACGATCATCCAGCTGTGAGACAATGATGCGAGTTATTAATGATGTCAACAACAACAACTACTACTAACAATAATAATAATATAGATGGTCGTCACTGAAGATAATGATGGTTATACAAAGTAATATAAAATAAAACAATAATGGCAGCAATATCTATATCAGAGAGTATGCATATAGGCGAAAGACCAATAAGGGTTAAAATACTATTCATCGTTTTTTCCTATTTTAATTTTTCTTTTTTTACTTTTGTTCTAGAGGGCAACGTCAACAGAATTGCCGGAAAACAATTCCTCAAGATGTTAGGTAATAGTTGCAACAAGTGGGAAATTTCCTCGTTAACCCAACTCACTGATTACGTCAATGGGAAACTTAAGTGCTTCATGAGCAAGTTACACAGTATTTCCCCGGAAAAAAGTTGCATCACTGCCCGTGTCACATAGGACGTGAAGCAACACTTGAAAGACACTGTTTAACGGTGTTCTCTTGTTTATGGTTTAGTGTTACTCTTCACACACACATGTTTCCCAGAGAGAGCACCGGGAACTGTTACACCCTGACCAAGTTCGTGCGTCATGATACAATGGTACTAGGATGATTTTCTTTGATCATGATAAACAAGTATCAGAAGAGCGGCATTTACCAAGAATTACACGCGAATCGGATATCCTAGAGGTAATGGAGAATGAGAGAACATTAATCACAATAAAAGTAAATGACCTGTTTAAGCGAACTATAGAAATTTGCAAAAAATACAATAAAATTTCAGTAACTTCCAGCGGGAAAAGGTCATGGAGGACGTTACAATGAGTAGCTTAATTCCTCGAAGCTAAGGTGAGAGAGGACGTTGGAAGAGCAAGAGGAGGC